TAATCACGGCCAATGATCAAATATGTTACTATTTTTTAAATTTCGCACAAATATTTGTTACTTATGCGGTTTCTGAAAAAATATTATAGCTCCTTCATCCTTTGAAAGCCACTATCAAGTTTTATATTCAAGTAACAATTAGAGATCTGGAAGAACCATAATATAGTTATAACTGCATTACGCGTCCATATATAGTATATGGACGCTATGGCGAGAACCTTCTTATCGTGTATGATTGATGCCTCTGGTTATTAAAAAAGGCCAAACATAAAATAAAATGTCCTGCCATCAATAGTGCGGCTTAACAAAAACTTTGAGTGAAGACTGCCTATGAAATCCATTATATATTTCGTTATAAATAAGATCGAAATATAAATTTGGAGTGTGAAAATTTTAATGTAATGATCAACGAACAAGAACCATTCCATAAGGATGTTCGAATGATCGCAACAAGGTATAGTCAACAGCACAACTGGTTATACAAAACTGTCAAATTTCTTCACTTGATTTTTAACTTTAATTCATTGTAGATAGAGTCGAAATTCAATGGAGGAAATTCGACATTTTGTCCTGATGTGCAGCCGTGTGTACCGAGGCCAGTAGGATACAGTAATGATACACTTGATTTTTAACTTTAATTCATTGTAGATAGAGTCGAAATTCAATGGAGGAAATTCGACATTTTATCCTGATGTGCAGCCGTGTGTACCGAAGCCAGTAAGATACAGTAATGGTAGTAGTTCTTTTGGTTTGGTTCCTTACAAGGCAACATTGTTAACCTGGCATAAATTTCAAAAACTCTTCAATCAAATTAGGTAGTTTTATGTTAGTTAAAAAAGTTAGTTGTATTAAATCCACTTTCAGCTCCATGTTATGTAAGTTAAACACAAACTATAGCAAGGTTTTCTTTTTGTATAAAAAGTTTTAATTTATAATAGGAACCTAAAAGTAATCCTGTCAAGCAACTAGCGCGGATCACTAAGCATCTGGATTTTTACGCTCTCAAACTTACTTTTAGCTCTCTAATGCGATATAATTACAAGCCGTTTCATGAAAGAGTTCCCTTGGCATAACTCTTATTCATTTGCAATTAAAGCGAAAACATCGTGATCCGAGGGACTATATTTATAAAACGAACTCTACATTGAGTTATACACAGCGTAAGTTTGTAATCTGTAAAATAATCGTACTGTTTAGATTGTTAAAAGAAAATAGCCACTAAAATTTAATTTTCTTTCAAACTGAAGTATAATAATTTACTATTTATTTTAATAGTTATTAACACTTTTACGATTATTTTTGTATGCAGTAAATAAACTATTGGTATATCGATAAAAATAAGGTTATCAATCTCCTGGTACTTTAGGGATATCATAAAGAACAAGCAGTTCATAAACATCTTTATTTATCTAATATGGTAAAAAAAATTGAAACGAACTAAAACATAATAAAGTATATAGCAATTTTAATAAAAAGAAAGATAAAAAACCCGACTGCGTAAAAACAAATTTAAAAAAATACAAGAAAAATTAACTTAATAGAAACAAGCCCAGTAGTTTAGAATTCTGTTAAGTAATACAGAACAGAACGACTTACAATCGGGGCCCCTTGGGAAGATTTGATTGGTAAAATTTGAATGGGCATCATCAAATTTAGTCTCTAGAAAGCCACATAGAAACAAATATACATACATACAAACATAGACTGATAAACACATTACCCTCCTTTGCGTCGCGTTGTCGGGTAAAAAGAAATACTGTAACAAACAAAATACTGAGATTTATGACTAAAAAATATTTTATTGATATTCACATGTCGTATTACAAATACAAGTAAAAGTAAGAATGAGAAACTATAACACAGAACATTAATAGCTAAAACTATACATAAATACGTAACAAAGTACTGATTATAAATTATTCCTGTAGTGTGTTTTACTTGAACAATTAAGTATTTATGACATTTTGGAGCTCCACACAGCAGAGAAAGCTCTATATCGAATGTGGTTTTCAGTTCACTTTTAAGCATTTGGAATTACTTATCGATTACTAACGCTGCAGAGGTACTATATTATAGAACGCTTACGTAGCATTAGCATTAGACATTCATTGATTACATCATTTAATGGTGGTTAATAGTCCTGCTTGCACCAGGAAGAACTGAACGCACCCGACGTTATATAAGGCTCTCTCGTACCACGGCTTACGTTCCCATACAAGGACGCATCAAGAGTCGCACACATGCGCTTTATTTGATACATATTTAATTACAGAAAAAAAAACAAATGCAGTTTTAAAAATATATATATATTTGTTAATATGTTTTATATTAGTGTCTATCTATCTGTACCATTTAAGAGATACTTTTGTCGCCGGAGTAATTTTCATTGTTCCCTATCCACGGCTATAATCTTGACTCCTTGGTACGACACGATGCCTACTTTTTTTTTACCTGTTCAAAGTAGCTGCGTAAGTCTTCCTCTTTTCCCATCTATTTTGTCTTCTATGATGTTTTTAATAAGCAATCGTGGCCAAATAAATGTCCTATTATCTTTCCTCTACTGTTATCTATGATGTTGAGCAGGCTTCTCCTTTCGTACACCAATATTAAAACTTCCTCATTGATCTTCCTTTTAATTTAACTTACTTCCTCCATTCTCCTCCAACACCATATTCAAACGCTTCCAATCATTCCCCATATCTTTTTGTAAATGTCCACGTTTCACAACCATATGTATTGTACAAAAATAAAACCTTTACCAGGCGTTTCCGCACCTTTTTGCTAATCTTAGCTTTAATGAGAGGTTTTTTTGCTAATGAAAGTCATTTTAGCCATTGATATTATTGAGATCTTGAGTACACCTAGAGTTATATACTAAATATCGAAATAAATTTACCGGTTCTATAATTACATTATTAAGTTTGACCGGAGTTTTTATTATTGATTTCTTGTTAGACGATTTTAGGATTTTTGTTTTATTTACTTTAATTTTGAGCCCAGCCTGTTCAAATACCTGATTTATTTCATTTACTTTATATCATATTATATTATCTGCAAATGTTATAAATTGTATATTATTTCCATTACCTTTAACGCCCCTTTTTACCTGAGTTTATTAGTTGCTTTATTACCTGTTCTAGAAAGTGGACATCCCTGTCTGACTCCTTGCCTTATCCTTGTCGACCCTCTTTTCTCTCCAATCTCTATTATAGTTTGGTGATCACTCTATAAGTTATATATTACTCTCCTATCCATGTAGTTTAATACAGCTTCCTTCAGTATCTGCATCATTCTTGTCCAATTAATCTTATCAAATGTTTTCTTTAGATCAATAGCTGTTTATGTATCGAGGTCCGACATCCAGCCATCGATCTATTACAATCTGAGAGCCAAAATAGCCTCTCTTATTCCTTTATTTTGCTTAAATCCGTACTGATCTGTCCTATGTTAAATTAAACTATTGGCCTCATTCTATTTTATGTCTCTGATTATTATATGTCTCTCATATTTTATTGTATAAACTTTTTGGGCAAGATAACTGTTTTACGTATTTTGAAATCCTTAGTTATATTTCTTGTCATGTATATTTCCTGCAGCAATTGCAATATTTCGTTTTGTTACTGTTCACTAACTGCATATTTAATCATTTCTATAAAAATCTTAAGTATAATCTTCTGTCGCCTTTCCGTATTTATATTTCTAGTTCTATGTTACTTTTTATTATATTTGATCAATTTCGCATTCACAATGCTATACTGAACAATATTCTTAATGAAAAATGCTTAAAAATCTATTTTGCCCCTAGCACTCTGAGATGGGATTCGAACCCATGATTTTTCACAATTCGAGAAATTCTGTTATAGTTTTGTAACCTTTGTAAATTTTCCCATTTTTCATAAATTTTTCAATTTACTTACACATTTCTTCAATATATTTTTCCTTTTCTTCTCTGTATTTATTAGCTATTTTGTTTATCAAATCTTTATACACCTGTTTGCAGTTTTAGTAATTTTTATTCCTGACTTTTCTTCTCTCCATCATTAGGTCCGTTATGGCTTTAGTGAGTCATTTCTTTCTTGTTACTATTCTTCCCTTTTCCAAACATTTTTCTGCTGTTGTATTAAAATATCATTAATTTTTCTCCATTTATAATCAATACCATTATTTCTATCGTTTACCACCTTTTTATTACTTTCTAACTTATCTCCTATATTATTAATTTTAATGAGATCTTTGGTTGTTTTTGATCTTTGTTTTTTTGTTTATTTAATGATTATCTATACCCAACAGCAGGTTGCGGTCTATATTCAAATCAACGTCTTTAAGCTGGATCCTATACTTAGACCGGATCAATATAAAATCTATTTGATTTTTTGTTTGGCATCGTCCACGTGTATAATCTTCTTTTTGGTAATTCAAAAAGATATTTGTCACTAATAAATTATTTTCTTTGCAAAATTGAACCATCTTTCATTAGGAAAAAAGGTTCCAAAAAGGGGGAACCCTTTTTCCTGACCAAATTTTCCGACCACTACTATCCGCAAAATTTCCCACCACAACATTAAAATCTCCCATTATTATAAGATTGTCCTTTTCTTTAATTGCATCTATAATTGCGTCCAGATTGTTATAAATTGCATCTATATATCTCATCATTGTCGTATCTTCTTTTCGGTATATAAACTTGTATTACCACTGTACTCACTGGTTCTGATTTAATTTTGACAACTATGAATCGGTCATTATGGTGTTTGGTATTTTTTCTATTATTTAATCCCACTTTTTATTAAATACTGTCGCTTTTCCATTTTATACTTGCTTCTGTCCATCTGAATATATTCTATATTAGACATCCCAATAAACTCCGCTTCCTTCTCATAGTCTCTCATAAGCCTAAAATATCTGTATTCAGCCTTTCCATTTTTATTTTTACTTCTTCTATCTTATCTTCAGTCAACATTGTATGCATATTCCATGTCCTAATATAGCCAAGACTTCGCATGTTGACGACCGGTGCCGCCTTACGTCTGTCTCTGCCGGACTCAGACACCACGGCATGTTATATCGTGGAAGCCCGTTGTCAGTACCTCATTTTTTTTCTGACTTCTTCATTATTCTATTTTTTAGGGGAATTTAGTGCAATAATATCTCTGTTTGCCTTCTGCACTACAGTATATCAACTGGGTGGCCTAGTTGATGGCATTGTGCCCATACTAATACCTTCTCTGATGTTAATGGATTATTTATTTATGAAATAAAAAAAGTTATTAACGTTTTTATATGTATGAATTTATTTCAAAAAATATATATATGTAGACTAGACATGTATATACATAATTTGTATTAGAGAGCATCTTTTTCACTATTTGTATTCGGCTGAATTATTTACTTTTGATGCCGAATACATTCGGTTCTAGTATTTATATTTAATTGGCTACAGGACACCACTTTTCTTTGGGTTCTATACTGAGAAAACTCAAAGAAAGTCTATTGACTTACTTTGATTAAAATTTATAATTTATAAATTATAATTTAATTAAATTAATTAATTATAAATAAATTAAATTATAATTTATAATTTATAAAAATTAAAATTTATAATTAAACTTAAAATCAACATCTTTATAAACCTCAAAGAAACCCACATTTATTATTAAACTTCTATCAACATTTCTCTGTTAACCTGTTTGCGCGGCAAAACAATGAAATGGTAAACCAAATAATTCGGGCGAATATCCGATTCTGGTCAGATTAAAACCAATTAATAGTCAGTTATTCGGTGACTCTACTAATCGACGCATCTCTAATTTGCAAGTATATCATATGTAATAAGGTATTTATGTACTTGTCCAATAATTTCCTCTTACTAAATCCCCGCTACTATTATGCATCTATTTGATTCTACATCACTCTAAGTTTGGCTGGTAGAAAATGCCTACGATATTAATTTGCCATTGTCCATTTGTGCAAGACGTAATAATAATAATAATTAAATAAAGTTAATAAATCAGTTGAATTCTGATGTAAAGTTATTGGAATGAACTTATTTACGTTGTTGCAGACGAGGAGTTTTACCAGATGCCGAGGCTGTTCCACCTGGACCACTACGACGAGTGCATGTCGACACGCGGCGTGTACTGCGTCGGCAGCTTCGAGCTGACCACAGACGACCGCAACCACCGCCTCTACCATCTCATGCAGGTTCTATTTATTTTCAGTTTTTTTTTATTTATTTGGTTTTATCATACATTGTGTGGAGGGAAGAATATAAAATTTAGCCACATTAAGAGTTTATACGAAAAAGTAGTGAAAATCTATACATATTATTGATAAAAGTATAGAGGGTTTTAGGTATTGTACATACCTAATCTAAATAAAAAAATTACTTCAAGGGGTCATAATTCAAGTTACAGAAGACAAAAATATGACTTATGAAAGTTTTATCTGTCTATCTGTTGTTCGCCTTACACACAAAAACTACTGGACGCATTTTGACGAAACGTTGTTGTATAGATATTAGTCATCGGCAACAATTAATATGAATTATTTTGAAGATTGGAATATCTGATACGGCACATTAAGAGAAACGAATATAACGCCTTAGGAAATGTTACCCAACGTGACAGCGTTTTTCTTGACGTATAAAAATTGAAGATCTGGAACAACTGCTGTGAAACCTTAGCATCTCTACTAAACATTATCACGCGAATATAACGCCTTAGGAAAAGTTATTTAACATGATGAACATTTTCTATTGATATATAAAAGTCGAAGATCTGGAACAACTGCTAAAGAACCTTAGCAACCCAACTAAACCTTAAGAGATACGAATATAATGCCTTAGGAAAAAATTTTAGTGTGGTGAGCACTTTCTGATGGCGAAAGACAATTAATTTTAAGTAAACCTATTTACTATTTGTCAGAGTTGATCGTGAGCGACATGCTATGATTAGCGAGTCTGAAACATTCACTCTGAAAGTAGATCTTCACACAGCCGACCGTTATTGTCACGCTGTCTCGCGATTCTGACATATTTACTCGGCGAGAAGAACGTCTCACAGCTGATCGTGAGCATCATGCTGTTTCGCGAGTCTGAGACATATACTCAGAGATAAGTACGTCTCACAGTCAACCGTAAGCGTCACGCTATGTCTCGCTAGTCTGAGACTTTAACTTAGAGAGAAAACCGAAGACTGCCTCTCAGCTAACCGTGAGCACCGTGCTATGTCTCGCGAGTGCGCTAGAGCTTATTTTGAAATTTGCTTTTAATATTTTGCCAAGTATTCTAGGGATCCATAAAACTGATTGTAAATAATAAATCCATACTATTGTAAATGCGAGTCGAGTGAACCCTGAGAAAGGCCCGCTCCATAGGATGGTTTTATTGCAAAAAAAGGGTTTAAAGGGGACTAACTACTACGGTACGACTAACTACGGTACGTATGTACGTACAAAGTGCAATAACAACCAAAGTCCAAGCGTGCGAAGATTATATTTTTTAATAAGTCATGAAAACATATTCGTTTGACACTTGTTTACTGTACGTAATCATATAAATCGTCTTTGATACTATCCCATAATATAAGTATATTCTAAATTAGAGCGACCGCTAGTATTATTTATTGTGCTACCTTTACACTTAATGTGCACACAATTTTCATTCCTATGATTTCTATCGACAACTGTTTGTATTCGTTACTCATTCATACACATACAATCAGAAACCCTTTCAGAATACTAGAGCTGCTGTGAAGTTATAGTCGTAGCAATATTTGCTCAGGGGGCCAATTCAACTAAATAAATTGTATCGTATGTCACTTTATATAATAGGAAAACTATTAAAAAGTGTAGTTTCGTTCGATTTCAATCCGTTTTCGATCTGTTTTCGATTCGATTTAAACAAAATTTATTTGGTAGAATTGGCTCCCAGGTGATGCTTCACAACTAAAATCAATTTTGTAATAGTCTTTCTTTACTGATAAGTATTTATTATACGTACACTTAATCCAGTAAAACAAACCAATGAAACAAAGCTCTGTAATTAAATATTATGTATAAACGTAGAACCGATAAAGTGCAAAATAGGAAATTTAAAAGTAAGTAATTTAAGTGAAACTATTGACGGGCAATTAACACAGAACAGTTGCAACAAGTAGTTCTATAAATAACTTTATCAAATTGACAATGATCGCATGAAAAGGAAGTTGAGATTCTTTTTCTTATTCCAATATCTTTTTTATCCTGTTATTTGGAAATTTTGCACACTTTAGTCTATTAAATTAAATTCAAAAAGCAAACACATCTCTATTATTGTGTTTAAAAACCTTTGTTGCAGTAAACAAAGTGTATGTATCTGCCACTATGTAATATTTATTTGTTGCACACATTTAATTAACTTTAATTTGCAAAGAGATGCACTGACAAAGCCGTGCGGTTCTTATTATATTGCAAAATGTAATCTTTTTTAATCTAATGGCTGACACTAACCGTCATATTAATAATACAGCTATCGTCAACAATCACTGTGAATCATATTCACGTGTGTAGGTTTTGTTCTCTATAGATTTAAAACTAATTAACATCTAATACAAAATATAAAATAGGTCGCTTCTGCTGTCTGTACGCTGAGGTATTTTAATTTGCACAACAGATTTTAATGACTTTTTTCTTTAATATAAAGAGTGATATAAGAGTTTAGTTTATATTTATGCAAAAAAAATGTTATTTAAATAAAAAGGATATACGCTATTCTTATTGACTTTTGTCACGAATGTTTCCCAGTGTTGTTGATTTACGAAACTATGACATAGATTTTCGACTTTCACAAGTGCTTATACCAGTCTAGAGTAGACACAGAAGTGTTATTCTATTAAAAAACAGCTTAGAGGTCGACGACGACCGCAGCGCTCTCAGAGCGTAATGGTTCAATCAAATGAAATCTACTTGAAATAAATTAAAATCTATTTTTATGTTATAAACCTTGAGAAATTCAATTTCCCTGTCTAGATGAGAGAAAAATGGTATTTCTCAGGGTTTTACTATACGAGTTATAATTATAACAAATTTTTGACTTGAATATTGTTAATGTTAATAAGAATTTTGTTTTAATTGTTGCTTTAAGAACAAATTAGCCAAGTACGATTCTATTAATTACTACACAAAGTTAATTTCATTCTTGCAATACGTTCCTCTAACTCTTGACCTTAATTCATCTCATCACGATAAAATGAATACCATAAAACCGTAACCTAATATAATATTTTTTATTTTATAGCGCTGATATAAGTTAAGTTCAAGGGTTAAAATTATGTACGTACATAGTATTTTTAACATTTTACGATTTTCTTTTAGTATTTATTTTATAGTGTTTAGATGAGTCTAGATCAAGGGTTAAATGAAATTATTAATACCTACTATATTATTTAGTTACAGAATTACCTACGAATCGTTACATCGTAGGTCAACCACTTATATATAACGCATGATAATTTTTATTGTAAAAATATTTTAATGTATAATTTCGTGCCCCAAGACAGGACAATCCTAGATGCTTAGAAATGAAACTCTGTAGCTAACTATCAGATAATAAACATGCAATTAATTCTTCTATTTCAATTTCGCAAACGCACTCCAATAATAATGTTAAGATTTGAGGATGTTAGTGTGTTAGTGCCGGTGAGTGGCGCTCGCGCAGCTGACGCGGTTATATAAACTTTGGTCGACACCAAATATTTGGGTTAAAAGGACAAACCATTAAATTCTAGTGATGGTCCAATGATTAAAAATTATTTTTCGCTAATAGAATACGATTTATTTTCTGAATGCCAAAAATATAATTTGAAAGTTTTAATTATTAGGTAATGTCTGTACTTGCATTCTGTGGAGATAATTGTTAAAGGCATAATTTACCATGGATTTTTGTAGTACCCCTACAGCGCCACGATAAATATTATGTAAGACCCAGACCAAAAGTTTTACTCTATATTGCAATGAGTTGAAGGTTGACATTAATATTTACAACTCCTCTAGTTTTATCAACGGTGCTTCTTAATAAATCAGGAAATCGTGATCATATAAGTGATAGGAATACGAAAGATTGATAATACGTCAAGCTTACGAAAGGGGGATAATACGTCATCTTGAAGAACACCAACTTTCGTGTCATTCCTTAACGAGATTATACGAAATTACCTCTTTATAAACCAATTTTATTCTAAGGCTAATTAAAAATCATTTTATGAAAATTAAACATTTGGTCGATTACTTGCTTACATAAATTATTTATATTTGATCAATTTTGCATTAACAGCGATGATGAAATAAAGAGTTTGAATAATCAAACCCTTTATTCTAAATCCAATTTAGCGGACTAGGTAGTAACTTATAATATAGATATTAATGTGTAAGGAATCGATTTTGAAAGAATTTACAAGATATAAAACTGCAAAGAATAAAAGAAGATATAGATATAAAGAAGTAAGAGACAATAGCTTTTATATAAATGCTTTGGAAAGTAAATATATAAACCCATGTAAATTATTTTTATTAAATAAAATATTCAAGTTATGGTTGTTCACTAGTTTATAGTATATATAACATACAATATGTGTGTGTATGCAACCAGCGTAACTCAACGTAACATCTTTTATGACGAGTTCGTCACACTCCACCTACCTCTGTTACATATTTGTGCGTTTTTGACCGACTTTAAAATCCAAAATGATGTATGTTTTATTATGTATGTTCACCGATACTTCGGCTTATTGTTGATTTTTAAAATAATATTTATATTCAACATATATCACCTAAACATTTTAATCATATGTTTTATATTTTATGTATCTCAGCTAAAAAACAAAAGATTGCATATTTTAAATTCATTCAAATTCCGAAAGGAGGATTTTCTATGTTCAAGGAGTATGTATATTTTAATGAAAGTAGTGAAAGTAGGCATTTCAATCAATTCCCTGCGACTTCGCCTGGGTAAATTATAGCCTATATCCAACGTGTATTATGTAGCTTCCCGTAGATGAAAGACTTTTGTAGATGATATACATGATATACATGATGAGATACATATTACAAAAATACAGGTTTTACATATTACACATATACACATACATATACGTATTACAAAAATACAGGTTTTTGTAATATGTATCTTCGAAAAATATGAACCATTTTAACTTATAAATGTTTAACAAAACAAATTTTAAGTCACTGATTTGGAAAAAATTACGCTTTCAAAAATTGAAAAAAGTGGAGTAAATCTACTATAAAAATTTACTAAAATACATAAGGCATTAAATTAGATATAAAAAATGTTACAACTTTTATTATAACAGCTATAAACATAAACGCACAAATAACAAAGATATTACAAAAATTGTCCAGACGCCCATACATTTTTCGCTACTGTAGCACCGTGTGACGTCACTGAGTGCCAAGAATTTGTAGGGAGCGTTTTCGGCCAACTAGCAGCAGTTCTACAAACACAGCACTGTATCTCCGAAACTATTAATCGCAGACATGCTGTTACTTTGACATTATTTCTCAGATGTTAATGGACTATTTATTTATGAAATAAAAAAAAGTTGTCAACTAGCCTAATGTCGAGCAAATAAACAAAATCTTCTTTTCTTTTCTTCAGTCCTGTAAGGTCCTGTGTAGCTCAGTGGTTAAAGAGTGTCACTGTTTCATGATATGAATTGATATCCTAATAAACAGTTCCCCAGGGACAACTAGTATTTAATATTTTTAGTATTCCGTATTACATAAAAAATGTCAATAACACTAAAAAGCATGAAATAAAAACTTTTAAAACAAACAGAAACAACTTCAAACTTTAACAAAGTGACAAATAATACTTATCTCAAAAGCGACTTATTCAATAAAATGCTACTGAAGTCGGGCGTACAGAAGATCTCCGGCTGACTTCAATAAGATTAGTATTTTTTTAAAGTTTGAAGTCGGTTCCATTTTATTTTTAGTTTTTATCTAAGTTTTATTTTCAGATATTTTTGACATTTTATGCGTGTATACATTAATTATCTTGCTAATTTAACTATTAGTTGAATAGACTCCGAAACCTATTTGGAAAATTCATTCACCTACGGGAAGCTACGTAGTACGCAGGCTTTAAATATTAACTTTCCTAGATATCAGTGAAATTAAAATTTCCGATAGCAATAGTAATATTAATTGTTAGAGGTACTCGTCTAACTGGTTGGATAACTTTAACCACACGCGGCTGCACCGCGGGCTGTGTGTGTCGCGCCGGTGCGCCGCGCCCACCCATTCCGCACACCATGCCGCCACTGACATGGAGCCGCTACACGCATGGTCAGTATGCACATTTTTCTCGATGTCATATCCTATGGCTAAAGGTGCGTTTACTCCTTTTGGGCGCGTATTTCAAAGTTATCCTTTAGCAAATAATAACTGTATTTTTTATTTATTTATTTTCTCTTTCTACACAAATGTGGACTTATGCCTGAGGCAATTTCCACAAGGCAACGTTAGGGTTATGTGAAGCAAAATTTTTCTTCCTTTTTATAAATTGAATTAAAATCTCATAACAATAAGACCGTACTATAAGGTTATCGCGTGTTAATTCACCACTTGTAAGGTGGATGAGATCTTCGATAAAGTTGTTTTTTTTTTTTTTCACGGACTATTCATGTGAGTTGTAAATACCACTAACTGCTAAAGCGTAGTTTTATCGTTTGATCTCAATCCAACCAAGGACATAAATAAGATCTAAAATGGGACGAGCTTTCTAGGAACTTATTCATCGTATTCTTCTCTTTTTCCCGGATATGGAACGGTACGGTACAAGCGACCTAATTTCCTAAATCTACTGTGTGTGTCATTTATTATATTTATATTGTGTCATTTCTGGTGAGAAATAAATTATTTTACTATTATTATTGCCCCTTACCCTTAGTGACCCACTTGATACCTTAAAACCTAGCCTTAAACGTTTTATCGTTAGCATAATAAAAAAACCTACAATCTAGATACCTAAGACGATGCTTAAGATCCGGTATTATTATGCACCAGGTTCGCATCATGTGTGAACGCGAGCATGATGTCCTCGCACCAGCTGTCCGCACGGCTGTACCGGTTGGAGTACTGCGAGAGGGGCACGGGGGAGGGGGCCGGGCACCCTCACCCACCACTCACCGTGTCCGAGCAGGCGTTCTCTGGCATGATCGCCCTCTTGCTGGTGCTAGCTGCTCTTAGCACTGTACTCGATCTTTCACTCACTGACCAGACTAAGAAAAGTAAGTAAATAACAGCTCGATTGTGCACTTATCAGTTCGTTCGTTGTGGAGTCCACATCCCTCAACGGGCCATAATCCCCCACGAAGGCCCAGTGGTTGGGTGTTAACAAATACAGGTGAAATTAATGATTCAACCCGTGGCCCAATTGTCTAATTTTAAAATCTATCGCAATCCCTTTAAAACTGTAGCAATTGTGACAGTGATTTATGGAATTATGTAACTTTTAAAATCACACTTGTTTTTGAACGAATGATTATTGGAATGATATAAATATTATAGACAATACGTTACATATTTGTAACTATCTCTTTGCTTAGACAATTCCGATTAACGTCAAATAAACGTTATCGTTCATTCAATATCTTTAAAAAAAACGACGCGCTCGCAATTGCTGTCAAATAGCAAATGGTTGTTATGCGAAGCTTGTGAATATTTGTCATATTTCGAATTCGGTGAGTGGGAGAAATTTTAAGATAAGACAATTGCGTCACTGGTCTCCCCGTTGGATACTATCCGTAATAATACCTGTGTCCCAGTAGTGAGGACATTCGCAATAGCATCGATGGCAAAAACTTCCGAAGACAAGGTGGCGCCATCTTTAAGTCCCATCTTTAATCTTTTAAGTCGATTCCCAGTCGAATTATTGTTGTAAGTTTTCTATTGGTTTCCATTATGACATTAGAATATGTTTACCTTTTATAAAAAATAATCACATAGAACTTGTCATTTGGAGAAAGTTTAAAAATTGTTAATTGACTTTGTTTTTGATTTTGTTAATTTTTCAAAGAAATATATTACTCGTTTTTTTAAATTCAGTTATAGCATTATGAAAATAATAAAAAAAAAATAACCGAACTTTAACTTTACCGATACCAATTATTCCATTTCGCTTCGACAAACCGGTCGAAAGAACACAAGTACAGAAATAAGTAGGTACGTATAATAACGGACCACAATCGGTTATGTATGGTTATGTTAAGATATCCTAAAAATAAATTATGTGGGTCATTGAAGCTCTGATTGCATTGCTATTGACCCAGTAACCGTTGATTCTTTTCCTCTGCTCGAGCTTACGTCATTAGTCAACCAAAGTTTGCCAGTCTCGTGAAACTTGTTTGTATTAAGTAAATAAAGATACACTTGAAAGTTTTGACGGCTGCCATTCTGCCCTCGTAAGCTAAAAAGCGGCATCACAAACAAAAAATATATTTTGTAACTTTATTATATTGGTTAGAGAATTTATAAAGCTACTCAATGTCATAATTTATTTTTTTTGCTTTTTATTACAATAACGACAAACACCCCTCATCATCATCATCATTAGCCCTATTACATCCCCATTGCAGGGCTCAGATCTTCCTTTTGCATGGTTAAGAAGGATGGGCCATGACTCTCCACGCTGATCGAATGCAAAATGGAAGGTATTAACTACTACAAATGCAGCCGGTATCAACGGATTAATGTGCCTTCCGAAGCCTGAGCTAGTCCGTAGTAGCTCGAGATAATAATTTTTTGGTCACCCATCCCGTGACAGACCCATGTGAAAGTTGCTGAACAACAAAGATTGCTGTGATTTTTAGAGTCCCATACCCAAAGGGTAAAAATGAGATCCTACCATTAAAACTTCTCTGTCTGTCTGTGTTCAGGTTTTATTATGAACCGCGATAGCTAGACACAAAAATTTCACATATGATGCATTTCTGTTAACGCTATAAAAAGATCACAAAAGTGTTTTATTTTGCATTTTTTTATAAATATACAGAACCCTTCTGCACGAAATCGACTCGCAATCGGACGGTTTTACTTATCTAAAGAATCGTAACCACGCACCATTCGCCACGCTCAATGTTTAGTCGTGATGTTACAAATTTCAACAGTCAGACAGTTTCATTATCATAGAACAGAAAAGAGTTAAAAATAAAAGTATACACAACGATTACCTAATGCTTATATCTAGACGTCTCACTCAACTATCGCTAAAAAGCTAGGTAGTACATGAAATGTGAAAGTTCGTGGTTGCAATGACTAGGTTATATTATACTAGGTATAGCAGTTTTGTTTGGACGTTAAAGATAAATGTAATTACTTATTGAAAAATAGTTGCTGTTGTCAAAAAATCAAAAAGTCCGTCTCATCGAACGTATTATTCCAAGGACTAAAGGTGGATACACATTATGTATCGTATTGTGGCGTGTCGCATTTTGCATTTTAATATTATATTGATTAAATAATTCTTTATAGGTAATTCGTTTTTTTTTTAATTTCTTTAAACTTACTGATCTTTTTTATTGCTCGAAATTAGTCGATGCATTAAAACACAAATTGTAGCTTTATAATCAATTTTAACACCTGTACTTTGACTTTTTGAGCGGTCTATCAATATTCAGGAATGCGTTAATGCCAATTACCGCAGCCCCAGTTACCGTTGCAATGTAACTGTGCACGCGTCAGTGTGTTATCTATCAATATTTAACAAAGATATATTTTTGAAATGCAACCAATCTTAACTAAATATGCATTAGAAAATAAACCCTTAACTTTGATATCTTATCATCTTTATTAAGATACTAGTCCGCGTCTAGTCTAGTTACTTTGAGCAGTATTTCTAAAACGAAATATTATTCATTATAACGTGTAAAATACCTGAAATAAAGTATCATGATTCTATCTTTGACAATGAACTTTATTACAAACTTTAATTCCTTATTTCAACCCTTTTATCACAATAAAAGCAAGCTATATCCTATCTCAATTCAATTCTTTTTAGTGGGTTCTAACCGTAAATTACATATACAGAGACCTACTTTCGCATGTATAATATTGCTTATTATGGAGTAATTAAACGATTCTTCTTGCCGCTCATTACTTTATATAATAAGAGACTTCTAGACAGTTACCGAAATAAATAGACTACGGACAATATAAATCATGCTTTTAAACTCACAGCTGTTTTAATTGAAATTCAAAGTAAACATTGTCAATATATAATTATTATGTCGTAGCAATTGGGTAATAGTTATTTAAGAAGATTTGAGTGCGGAAAGTAAGGTTTTACGAATAAGGGCCAAATTGAAAACACGAGCGTAGCGAGGGTTTTCATTGGCACGAATTCGAAAAACCTTTTACGCTCAAGTTTCTTACAACATTTTTCAATGCTTTTTGCGAGGAAATAAAACAAATATAAAGGTTAATAAAACTAAGTATGTATTAAAGGTATAAATTATTTGTTAAAATTAAACGTGATATTTGAACATGTTTTCGTGCCATACATTTTTATTTGAAAATATTCGTTCTAGGCTCCTTGAAATACTTTTGCCTCTAAATTTTGACATATTTTCATCAATTTTTTTTTAAATTTCTTTGATGCTCGGCCAAAAAAAATAAAAAAAGTACTTTTAAGCACGTGTGCAGTAAAGGATTTCAGTACATTTTTATTTAACACGTGTTTAAAGACTCACTTTCGGTGTTTACGATGGATTATAAAAATAGCGCTTTATGAGCAACTGCATTGAAAAATAGCCTTATAATAGAATAGCGCCATTTATTTGCATGGCCAAACCTCGATGAGCTGAGTAACTATAACAGCGTCAGGTCCCAGGGAAGTGTTTAACTGTCAATGATCACGATTGGACGTTAGTCGATTAATTATTTACAGTACTTTATCTCTGAAAACTTTGAAACTATTTATCCGATTTGAAGTATAGATAGAAAGAAAAACACAAATCTAATGTTCACACAACTTAATCCAAAACTGATATCACCGCAAAATTTTTTGAACAAAATGATTAAGCATCCTAGTTAAAAATATACGCCATGTACTATCACCAGCATCATCGCTTATACGCCACTACAAGGGCTCAAGACTTCCTTATGGATAGGTTAAGAAGGATGGGCCATGACCCTCCATACTAGCCCAATGCGGATGGGAAAGCATTAAGAACTCAAGATAATTTTTTTAGTCATTCATCCCGTGACCAAGCGGAAACGGTGGTTATCCACCACACCACTGAATTACTCATCAGTATGGCAAAGCTTAAAGTTCTTACTAAATTTTATTTGAAAACTCAACCTTAACAGTGCGATTTAGAAGTATAGTTTACGCCATGTAGTATAGCACAAAATATAAAATTATTTGTACTTTAATCTTTTCAAAAATATTTATTTAAATTAAATAATCTCAATCAATTATGAACTCAAATAGTAATTTTGATAAGGAAATCTTTATAAATATTAGATAGATTTAATACAATGACAAATGAAATTGTAAACAATAGTAGCTATGATAACATTTTTTTTAATACTTTCACTTCCATTTTCATCTCTTTAAGTGCTAATTTTCAGATATAAATCCAAAAACAAACAAGTTTCATACAAAGGTTTTTATTGTTTTTTACCCTCTACGGGGTGGAATTTCTAAAAATCTGTTCTTCGTATACCTCTACTTAATAAGAGGAATGTCCCCTCCAAATTTTAAGTCTCTACGTCCAGCGGCGTAGGCTGTGCGTGTCTGTCAGTCAGTATGTCAGGACATCTACTTTTATCTAAGTATAGACTATAATAATATAATCCAGCCGTTTCATTATATTGTAGAGAGGCTCACCGACTACCTTATGTGCCAACTCCAAAAGTCCAGTAGTTTAGGACTTGTTAATCTGTGAGAGGCATCCTATGGAGGTTCCGTTTTTTTATTTAAGGTAGGTACATGACATCGTCTTTTGCATTTCTATGACTTTTCTAATGTAAGATCAAATATGTCACCGGCAATTTGTATAATTGAGGTGTTTATGCTTATTAGTTTACTAAGCAATTTCGCTTTTCGGTCTTTTAGCTAAGATCAGTGACTTTAACGATAGCTCGTTGATGTCTTTTCCTTCAACAGTAACGATCTGACCCTTGACCAAGTTGTACACTAAATTTATCTATAAAGACTGTCATTATGTAGGTAAGTTTTGCTAATTTTTCATTTGAAATTGTATTATTAGATTATGACACACAATTATTCTGCTCTTTGCTTTTAGCCTTCGACTTCCTTCGACATTTTTATTCTTATATTTTTAATGACAATTTTTATAATAGTTGGATATCGTAAAAAAATTTCTCCCTTCTGTATATCTGCACAGTTTAACAATTTCACGCTGGTTTCCTGTTTTATCACGTCCCAAGTATCGTAGAATTAGTTTCCCGGTTAAACCAATGTTTATTTCGTGGTTTATTTTTAATCCACAAATAATTCTACTCTGGGAGGCTCTGGTAATCTTTAACACAAATGCAAGCCAATGCGTAGACTTTTTACCGCAAATCTAAAATAAATTGTCCATTAATAAATGTTTTATTTGATACTAGCCTTCCGCCAGCGGCTCCGCCCGCGAGGTCCCTAGAGAACTATTTATTTAGATATCGATTCATATCATGACACGGATACAATTAAAATGATAAATTAAATAGTAAACAATGGTTACTATGGTAACGTTTTAATTCCCTATACAAACTTCAACTCCCCATTGCCATGCCTTTATTTTCTGTTTTTCGAGACAAAATATAGCCTATGTTCACCGCATATGATGTAGCTTCTCGCAAGTGAAAGAATTTTTAAAATCGGTCCAATAGTTTCGGAACCTATTTGTTGCAAACAAACAAACAATCATGTTTTTCCTCTTAAGGATAGGTCAATTATATTTTGTTTTATTTTTATTTATCGAAGTTAATCTCTAAAAATATATTAGTTGTATCAAACAAGTCTTCATTCACAGGTGAATAATTTCGGTCGAGTACTTTATAATTGGTGATGAAATTGATCGCTATACACACGGCTGTAAATCAGGTTACCACAACATATCAAACCTCAATTGATTTCGTACTCTACATACAACGTATGAAGGTTTAAAACCAAGTGGTGAAATTGGACAATTTTGTTTAGGCTTACGTGTTGTTACCTGTACATTTGTTGGTGACTACAATCCCTTCGCCTGATGTAATATGTCGCAATAGCAGCGGTCAGCCGACCACTTACTGCGCCTGTTGTACTCAAACCACGCGGTAATAAGGCAGTCGATTCAAGGTCTGAACCACACTATCAGCCAGCATATATCAGCACTAATACGGTATATGCATCAGGCGTCATTTTAATATTACAATTTATTATTTCTTCAATCATTTATGATTGGAGCTGGTATCTATCTACACATATGTGACATGACATTGTCGGGTATATGCATCAGGCGTTACTTTATATCGTATTATAATTTATTATTAAAAAAAATTTAAGATTTTAAACTTAATCATGGTTGGAGTTGAGGAGACACTATCTTCATCGTGCCACTTTCTTGCGATTTTTCCCACTTACAAAACTTTAACGTTACGATTTAATTAATATACCTATACATCGATCCCTTCAACAAAATCGTTTTTTATGAGTAGTGTTCGTGAAATATTAGAAACAAGTACAGTATCCCCGTATTAAGGAGTTTAAAAATTTATATCAATAAATTATTCAAATCTTTTATTTTGGTAAAGTTCTTTTGTTTGAACTTCTAGCTCTACGCTAGCTGACTCGATAACAAGACATACATATTCTCATTTCTTCTTCTACTTTGACGAGCAAAGTTCCAAATCATTTGAAATATCAAAGTATTTGACGTATTTTTTTATCATAAGAAATGTATATTAAGTACACATTGAAAATAATTTAAATTACTGCATTAGAGATTCTCTATTAGGCACAACTTAATGAGCTAAGTTTGATATTTGAAAAAAAAGTATCAAGGTTTATAATAAAAGGAAAGTCATACTCCGCCTCTGTTATTTTCTGCATCTGTTAGGTTTTATAACATTTGGCGTTGGGACTGAAGCACTTCTTGTAAGATCCCGATCCCAGACTTATCTCCCTCACTAAAAAGGCTTTATATCTTCTCCTGAATTGTCAAATAGATTTCAATACGGCTTTAACTATTTGATAAGATTTTTTTTAAATTAAAGTTTGTCATTCGGTTCGTAAGTTGATAGAACGAGCGCTTGTATGAAGTGGTCGCACTCTACGTTCACTCTGTCATTAGTAAGCAACAGGTTCCTAAAAAAGCATGTATTTAAACGCAGACTTAATTTATTTACATTCAATTGTATCCGACTTACTCAATTATCTACTATGCGTGATTTAAACTCTGGCAATCAAAGTTTTTCAACGAATCTAATAAAGTAGACGTTCACGTGGCTGCTCGTCAGGCTACCACAATATGTTGAATTTTCTCAATTAATTTTTAACTCTACCGTCAATGCATTCAGGTTTAAAATCGAGTGGAGAGACAGTTGCGTGTAGACTGACATGCTGTTACTGGACTGTACATAAACAATACGATATGGTCAAACATAAATACTGTATTTATTTAAATAATAAATTAAATGCACATAAAGAGATGTCTGTTTAATATAAAGTGTAACTTCTTGCTCAAATCACAGCTTCCACCAAGGGTATACTTTGTAGAAAGTGTATAGGTAATTCGAATATATTGACTCGTAGAATACGTTTCCTTCTGCAATGTGACATGTTTTTATCAATTAGTTTTGCGGAACAGGTCTTACTACTGATTTTACCAGTCTCGTCGGGACACGCTAAAATGTCAAACTAACTGTTTTCCTGAATTCTTCGAAATTTCTTTAAGACCGTGTTTGGTTCTATACTTGAGCACCTTATGATTCCGCTGCCTGATTCACCCAAAAGCGGCCATCTCATGGCACTTTTTATTTGCTTTCTACCCGAACGAAAGTGGTTTTAATAGTTACAATTCCGTCTACTATTCACTGTTGCACGAAATAATCAATCTTATCAGTCTGGCGCTGCAGCCGCAATCCTATTAAATATTATGCAAATTCGTCATTATATTCAGGACTAACAGTGCCTTGAAGCCCATACGTTTTTCGCTACCGTAGCAACAGCAGCAACAGAAATGCTACAAACAAAGCACCGTATCTCCGAAACTATTAATCACAGACATGCTGTTACTTCTACATTATTTCTCAGATATTAATGAACTATTTATTCGTAAAATAAACAAATGTCAACTAGCCTATTACGTATGTTCAACATGTTCATATATCGTGTAGATTGTAATTTTACACTGATTATTATACCCAATCTCATGTATATCATCCGCTAAATTATGCTACAAAATATTGATTCAATATAATATACATATTTTATAAATGTAAACATACATTTAACTAATAACATTCTACAATTCGATTTTATAGCTATAATAACAATAACTTATTGACTTTACCTAAATGTAAAGAAGGTATTGAAATAATAAAAAAAAACATTTGCTAATCATTTATTCATCAAATAACACTTAACGAGATACAATCTTTGTTTACTAACACTCACATATCTATCTTTGTTCGTAGTAATACGCGGTATTTAGCCCTTGACTTACATAATTATCCCAGTTAAGTTACATATGCCGAACGGCGGTATTAAGAAACTGACCGCGAGCTAGCGTAAACGAGCGGTTACCGTTTAATATCATTAGTAACCGATGCCGTTCGTATGGCAAATTATTTAATAGATGTCAAGAGGTCGTGTTACTTTGTAGTAAGCTACTGTGGTTATTAAAAATATTATATTTAAAATCAGGAATGACCTCCGTAGTGGAGTGGTTCGCGCGCCGGTTTCAAAGTGTCACGGGTACGATTCCCGGTGGAGTTAATATAGAAAATGTACTTTTCTATATTATCTCGGGTCTGGGTATTGCGGCACCTTTTTTGACACTATAATGCGGGGACTTATTCATCATCTTATACATACTCATCTTAGAATCTGAACAATATTTGTGATTAGACAACAACTTAATGTTTTATTTCCTAATAAATATTTATAATCTAAGGACGCCTCAACAGCAAAGGTTAACCTAGTACAAGGTTCTACGGCAATAATATTTATCAGGTTTGCTTATTCTCTGTATAACATGAATTTGGACTAATACTAAAATTGCAATTTTAGCGTACATTTACTCTGCCACTAAACCTTGTTTATTAATAGCGCTGTAACTGTATAGAGATTGAAAAGCAATACAGATCCCATAAGGGACTCTATAGTAAACTTTACCTAAAATCTGAATAAGACATACAAGTCATATAACTCGTACCAATTAACTTGATACCTGGAGGCCTATTCTGTTTATTGCGAATCGTTCTTATAATACATATATCTGTGAAGTGAAGTGAAGTGAAGAAGAATTATCTGTGTATCAAGGGATGCATCATTAGATCCTGCTTCCGTTGCATCATTAATTATCGAAAAGTGTTTTTCATTAGTGTCGTATCGGCATTTCGAAAATAGACGACATTGCGTTGTCAAAGAAATGGAAAAGACCTTCGTCGAAAAGTTTGAAAATACGTATCGGTAATGTCGTTATTTTAATAGAAGTTTATGAAAGTAGATGTTAATGTATTAGTTTAAGGCGAGGGTGTATGAAATTACCAATTTTTAAAATAATTTTAAAATAAAATATAATAAATAAATTTCAATAATTAACTCGATTGCAAAAAAATCACGGTGATGACTCTAAATAGGTTTTTGGATTGATTTTACGACTAACATATTCCATCTTATATATTCTTTCGATCACAAACAAAAAATAATGTTTTAATTTCATTTGTTTTTCTTCTGATTTTATGTTTTAACTGCATTTGTTTTATTTAAAATGTATGAAATCCAGCGAGCGCTGTGCGTGTTTGTTCGCGTATTTGTATGGCAACGTAAGTGGAGGTACAAGAGAGCCTTAATAGTATTTTTCTATTGTAAGGTATGAGTTGGGCGGTGTCGTGGTCGGTGCGCGGCAGTTGGCGCGCGCTACTGGCAGCGCCGCCGGGCGGGGGCGCGGACCTCGCCACCCTCGACGGTCTACGGGTATTGGGCATGCTTTGCTTCATAGTGGAACACGTCTGCTGGCTCAACACGCTCACCTACATCATCAACCCACGCCACGTCGAACGGGTACGTTATCATATTCCTATTACCGTCCGTACTGTTGGATTACAAGCTTTACTCGAGGGTAGAATGACATAGGAAGAACAAACAGCCCTTAGCTCTCCAAGCGGATCCAGTGTGAATCAATTCTATGCATACAGGAGCTTTGAAAATTTAATTACTGTCCGCATTCGCAGTCCGAATGCGCTAAAAACTGCGCCATCGACCTTCACTGGAAACTTCTTATACAAAACAAAATCGCTTCTCGCTGTCTGTATGCTGAGATCTTTTAAACTACACAAGGGATTTTAAAACGACTTTCATAAATGTACAGTGATTCCAGAGGGTGGTGCCACTGTCAGAAAGGTAATATCTTATATAATTACTTTAAAAATCAACTGTCTGAGGTGCTAGAGACAGTATACAAACTCCCGCACAACCACAACCGCAGCGACAGCCAATGTGACGGTTAAGCCAATTAAATAGACTAGATTAGATATGATAACATATTTAATAATATACAAGAGGGTAGGTCCCCAATATAGTTTTATAATTATAGATACAAATTAGGGTGTGGGTCCGTGACATTAAGCAACTGTCTCGTAACAGATCCTTGGTCACCACTGTCCTGGCAATCCAGATAACTTCGCACGTTGCAGGTCTCCGGTCACTGGTCCTGGCAATCCAGATACGACTGATGTAGCAAAGGCCTAAGGGGCCTTAGCCTTAATAATGTTTGTAGCAACAATCTTGCCTTTTCTATATACTGTGCCGGAGGGTAGTTCCCCAATATGGGAAATAAACACATAAACTATATTTATAGATAACTAAATCAAAATTCACAATCAAGTTGACAGTAATTAGTAAAAGATAACGTACGACAATATGTCCTGTCGCTGCGGAAGTATATCAACCACCCTCTAACCGGATATCTGTATCGAATCACGTGTACGATAAATATTATCAAAATATCATAGTCAATATAAAATGTATGCAATTAATATAATGAACAAACATATACGCAATTGGTAACGGACCGCAGATTTGAGGAGAGACCAGGGGGCCAATTCTACTCAATAAATTTTAAAAACTGTAGATTCGTTCGGTTTCGATCCGTTTTTGATTCGATTTTAACAAAAAATATTTAGTAGAATTGGCCCCCAGTTTACCAACAGCTAAGTTAAGCCAACGATAGACGGTAGTGCCCTTGAACATACGCATGCGTCCCACACTTACAGAGTTTGCGAAATTGGTAAAAAATTTGTAAAACTGTTCAATTATCTCTATAAAATGTCAAAAGATACGAAACTTAAGAATCAATTATATGATCTAATTTGAAACTAATTTGATCGACTACGGGAAGCAACATCATACGCGGGTGACATTTTACTAAAAAAAAACAACTATTCTAGAATATTATTCAAACTATAAAGCACTTTTGGTTAATAAGACAAGTCTTATTATGATTTGCTACTTTGATTGGAAGTGCACAAAAATCATTCCTATCAGATATCTACGTTTGTCTTTTCGTTACAACTGCTGTGTCCAACATATAATAGGCTAGTTGCCAATTTTTTATTTTATTTCCTAAATAAGTAGTCCATTAACATTTGAGAAATAATGTAGAAGTAACAGCATGTCTGCGATTAATAGTTTCGGAGATACGTTGCTGTGTTTGTAGAACTGCTGCTAGTTGGCCGAAAACGCTCCCTACAAATTCAAGGCACTCAGTGACGTCACACGGTGCTACAGTAGCGAAAAATGTATGGCCGTCTGGACATTTTTTTTAATATCTTTGTTATTTGTGCGTTTATGTTTATAGCTGTTATAATGAAAGTTGTAACATTTTTTATATCTAATTTAATGCCTTATGTATTTTAGCAAATTTATGTAGTAGATTTTTCTACATTTTTCAAGTTTTCAAAGCATAATATTATCCAAATCATTGACTTAAAATTTGTTTTGTTAAACATTTATAAGTTAAAATGGTTCATATTTGTCGAAGATATAACAAAAACCCGTATTTTCACTTGTAGGACACAAGCCTATTATAGTTGTTTATGAACTTCACTAATCTTTTTTTTTAATAATATTGTTTATTTATTTACATGTGCTTATACTCAATATTACAATTGAGTAGCTTCTGTGCCTGAATGAGGTTTATATACTAAACCTGAATATCAGGCTCCAGCGCTCCTCCCTCATCACACTGTCTTAGTATAAGTATACAACATTAGATGATAATAAATATTGAAATCCATAATTGATCCATTTTAGTTTCAACAATTATAAATTATCAATTAATAACACAAATCAAAATAATAATAATAAAAATCAACATATTTTAAGTTTGAGTTTGAGTGCCTCTCGGTGTGTAAAAAGTGCATGTGAGTGTGTGAGAGAGTAAGGTGTGTGAGTAGAGGAATTATAATTTTATCTTTATACCAAAATACAAAGAAAGTCCAATAAAATCAGTAGATGATAAGAATAAAATAAAATTATTCTAATATACCTATATATTAGATTTTATTGGTAGGGTCATTTGCGGTGACCTTAATAAGTCAGTCACTAGGCTTATATTTTGCCGGTACTATGGTCAACAAATCATAACTGAATTTGGAATAAGTAGTGATTCATCGTCACACCCTTTAACATCCTCACTGCAGAGACTCAGGCCTTCTTTAGGAATGGTTAAGGTGGATGGGCTATTCACTCAATACCATGAAGCTATGATGCTATCATCATAGCTTCATGGTATTGAGTGAATAGCCTCACTTTGCGGATTATTATTATTTGAGATGCTTTGGTATTGAGTGAATAGCCTCCAAATGCGGATTGGATGGTATTAACGACTGCAACCACCAACCAACTGCTCAGGCCTTCTTTAGGAATGGTTAAGGGGGATGGGCTATTCACTCAATACCATGAAGCTATGATGATAGCCAAATGCGGATTGGATGGTATTAACGACTGCAACCACCAACCAACTGCTTAACATGCCTTCCGAAGCACGGAGATAATATTTATTTAGTCACGTTTGGTAAAGTTGCTTAACAACAACAACCGCGGGCGCGGCGCTTTAAGTAGCGATTAAGTGTGTTAATTTATTGTGATATTAGTAATGCGTAGTAAATGGAGTAATCGCATTACTTCACACCACTTCTGCTGTAATCCGTTGTAATGCCTACTCACTCAATACCCGTAGGCAGGTATATAATGATTACGCATCAAATGTAGTATATTATGAATATGTAGGGGAAGTTTGGCACCATTCGTACACGGGGAACCATCATACAGTCACTACTACATCTTGTAGAAAAGCCTATTTATTACGGCTTTGTGTCAGTGGATAGGCGCCGGCGACTGCCAGTTGTCCACGTAGTTAGCCACACATGCAGCCACTGCGAGCAAAACTAGAGAACTTAAAGTGTTTTGGCATGCTCATAGTAAATATTTTGTTAATGTTTTTGGATTTTCTGTGCTTTAATCATACGTCAAATTTTATTGGATTATTGCTTAATCGTAAGTGAATACGATTAAGATAATAATAATAAATCAATTTTGTGTATTTTTTTACGTGAGTTTTGTGTTATAAAAAATAATTTTATTCTTTATCTTCGGGGCACATTCGTACATTTTCAGCAAGGTACGTACGCGTATGTATGTACCCCCGCTAACAATTTTTATGATTATTTCAGAAAATTTAGAAAAAAGATCGGTATTTATAAGAAAAGGCAGACACGTTCCCAATATAAATTAAATTATATTTTTTGCGTCAGTAAAAGGGGTTTTTAAATAGTCAAAAACAAATAGTTATACTGAAAAGACTAATAAATTGAAAAAGTTCAAAAACATATTTCGGACTCACGATATTGGAAGTCAGAACACTATCAAATGCTTATGACAAAGTTTTGAAATATAAATGTTTGCAAAATTGTTATGAAATTGGCTTCACTGATATAGAATGGATGCACGGTTTTCGAAAAAAAGATAGTTAGACTCTAAGCCTATATGTCGTTTAGTTTATTACATCGTTGATAAATTTAAGATCAATGAAAACAATTATTTTAATTAATTTATTGTTTTAGTTAATATATATGAAGTTACCACATTGTCTGAATGTTCCCCTGCCCATGTACGAATGTACCCCGTAATAGGGGTAGATTCGGACATTCATTTTGCTTTTAGTAAATTTCAATCCTTTCATTTATTTTACAAGATATCGACTTTGAACTTTTTAAATAAGGAGCAGAAAGTATGTTTTATGTTTTAATAAGAAATTGAGTAATTTATCTTTTATTATCAATATTTTAAAAATCATTGACTAAAAAGTGTACGAATGGTCCCAATCTTCCTCTATGTATATTAAACTATAATGACAAATGTCGATCATCATACGTTTTGTAACGATGAAACAATCATGAATTAATAGCCGGAACATATTCTGTTTTATGTGCGATGTTACTAAGATGATAGTAGCTTTACATGACATTAATTTTTAAAATAAGATTAACTTTAAAATGAAACCAATAAAATTAACTAAAGCGTTTTTATTTGTTTGTCCCTCATTCGCATCGTAACGGTTGTTATGGTATGATTTTTTAATTACAAATAGGTAGGAAGCCAGCAAATATCATAAGCAACTCCTTACCTCCAATAATCTTTCATTCCCATTCAATGGGAAGATTTTCAGGTAACTGCTATTTTCTAGATAAAGTAACATACCTATATATTTGATCTGGTTTTTGTGTTTAGATGCATCGTGACACGGACGTCCTCCTGGTGTCTAACAGCACACTGATGGTGCAGGCATTCTTCCTGATGTCCTCGTTTCTGCTCGCCAACAAATTGCTGCAGCAGCGACGACGACAGCAGACGCTCAAACCGTTCTCCACCTTCGTCGAGATCATGATCAACAGAATCATCAGGTGAATTATCACCGGACAATAGTCCGCGTTGACAAACAGTTTGGCTGGCTCGGACTCAATTACTGCAGTATCTACTTTAGTTCACCACCCTACTTTTCCACTAATAATAGATTATACTATTTTATATGTTTGTTGTTGTTAGGTGCTTTTTAATTGCACCTATTTTTAACCCGTGCAAGCAGTCATATTACTTTCGATTGTTACAGAATGAGCCCTACGTACTTCGTAGTGGTATGGTTTGCAGCCAGTGGGTGGGCGCGCGGGGGCAGCGGGCCGCTGTGGGCGCCGCTGGTGGGGGCCGAAGCGGCTGTGTGCCGCGACAAGTGGTGGACGCATCTGCTCTACCTTAACAATATCATATACCCGGACGACAAATGTCTCATACAAACTTGGTAAGATCACCTATATCACCTATCAACTAACGTCATTTGATCAACTTCTGCTACTTTACCCGACATATCTAATCTAACAGCGGATCATATATCTCGGTCTTGAGGGAATAAATTTTATCGGCTCTTATCCGATTACTCGTTCATACCTTGGTCTTATGATCAATATTGAGTTAGTACTGCACTATTTTTTTTAGCCGGGAAAATGTGCCTACATATCCTACCACCTGGTTGAGTTCACTCGGTGAAGTTTATCCTATGGACCAGCAGAGCCCATCAGAAACCTAACAGTACTTATATCTAATCTATATCTAGCTCGCTCCGAGCTTCTTAGTTGGCAGCATCTCAACAGCTGACAGGACCTTATCAGCGCTTCTTCTCTTGGTAAGTTCAGGGGTCCCAGATTGGCAGTAGATAGCGATAATGTTTATGTTGTGCTGACAAGAAGAAGCATTAATACGTACTTACTTATCCCTTAGTGAGCTACCTACACTTAACATTAGGTATGATATATGATGGAAATAAATAAGGTAGCAAGGTTTGTGTGGGGTAGGTACCTGGCGGCGGACATGCAGCTGTACTGCTGCGCGCTACTGCTGACGCTGGCGTTGTGGCGGGTGCGGCGCGGTGCGTTGTACGTGCTGGCGGCGCTGCTCGTCGGCTGCGTGCTGCTAGTGTTCGCACTCGCATACGTCTGGGAACTAGTGCCTACCTTCGTGCTGCATCGACCAGAGTCAGTTAACTTGTCGTCGTCGGTTATTATTAAATGATCTGAACGCGATTTACAATTTACTTTGTATACTGGTATTAAAATACAAACTAAACGAGCAAATAGTCATCTTGAATTATCAACGCCACGAAAAGTTTTAAAGTCATGTAATTGCCGGTGTTGAAGTAATGTAATAAATTCATAACACAATGATCCAGTTGAGTACAAAACAATAGGAAGTAGTGTGTTATTTATCTAAAACGTAGTTGTCCACCATCTATGTGACCGCCTAACTCTCTAGCTGTGATTCTAGCCATAGGATACAACATCTTATCCATGTTAAGGCGATATGTCGTTTCATTTTACTATGTTAAAATATACTTTAGTAACGACGAACAATCAATAAAGAATGATGATTATGTATATAACTACCAACTTAGTCATTTATCCCAAATTTATCCACCAAAAGATATGTGAAAGCTCAGACCAAATAAAAAGTGTGAAAGTAATAAACATGAAACGAAATATCGCCATAACATCGCTATCAAAAATTCGCTATATAAAATTTCGTATCTTAGGGCTATAATAAAGGCTAGAGAGTTAGGCGGTTGCACCCCTGATAATAATCGGGATGGGGTATAAGAGTATTATGGTAATGTCGCAGGGCGGTGCGCGCGCTGTATCGTGGTGAGGCGTCTTTCAACGTGTTGTATCAGTCGCCGCTGGGGAACGCGCCCGGTGCGCTAGTGGGCCTGCTACTCGCGCATCTGCATCACGAACTGCGTGACAGACACGTACAGCTTAACAATTACACCGTACGTATACTGAACCATGAGTCATATTCAACATGGGAAGACAGTTATATTATCGTCAGGGACACTGAAACGAGTAACTAAGTGATGGCGTAAGGCCCAAATTGAATGGTTCGGGGTGGTCGATCCGCGATTCCGTAAACGGGGGCTTCCGCCGCCCATACCGTTACTATTAAAATTATTCATGGAAACTGACTTTTTAAACAGACCATAACTTATTATTTCTAAGTAGGTACACATTTTATCAGAGATTTAAAAAAGTAATAATCGTTTATTAAGTTTGATTGAGGCATAACACAATTTAAAATTTTCAGCAGTAAATGTCAATTTAGTATCTGAGATTAAAAGACAAACAAAAACAGACGTGACTGATGTAACATGTGTTAATGCATCACTCAAGTGTGCTACTAGTGATGTGATAAGTGATACTACGTGTGATGTGCAGTGGTTCAGATGGGCGGCCTGGTGGGCGCCGTGGCTAGCGCTGGCGTGGGTGTCGTTTAGTCCGCGGATGGCGGGGGCGGCGGAGGGAGGGGCGCCAGGCCGAATGGCGGTCGCCGCGCTGGCCGCGGGGGAGCGCGCAGTGTTCGCGCTGCTCGTCGCTATCGCGCTGCTCGGAGCTATGCACGGCGTTAACTGTACGTATTACCTACATACATATGCTCCGGCCGTATACGTTAAACTTACTACAGATCAGAAAAAATGTTTTCTATGGTCATAACGATGATACGGGGCCCCTGTAGATACTAATGCATGTGTATGGCATCTTAACTGAATCATCGATCGAGGGAACTTTAATAGAGGGTTCGCTAAAGACAAGTATTGCTTCTTGCATTTGATATAATCCCTTCACCTTTATATTCTTGTCGTCGTTTCTGGAAGGTTTCCTCCTAAAGAATAAAATATGCGATCAGTGATCGGACGATATAGGTACCTAAGTTTATTTTGATTATTTAAAAAAACGCAATAATTTCTTAAAATAATAATTCTTTCGAATAATGTGATTTATGTATATAGCGCCGGTGCGTCGTGTGTTGTCTTGGAATGGGTGGGCGGTGCTGGCGCGGCTGTCTTTCGGCGCACTGCTGCTGCATATGATCATCAACAAGTCACTGTTGGGCTCTCAGATAGCACCCATACAGCTAGACAGACAACAAGTGGTGAGGAAACATTATTGACGCACCATAACTAAAAAATAATAAAAAAAACTAATTTGAATGTTTGTGTGTAAAGAACAGTTGCCGAACAAGGAGAATTTCATACAATAACCCAGCACTACATATATCTTTCACTCGTGCGCAAACATATTATTGTTGCATTCGCTTATATATATTTAGCCAAATCTAGATATATATATATAACTCAAGGTGACTGACTGACACAGTGATCTATCAACGCACAACCTAAACCACTGGACGGATCGGGCTGAAATTTGGCATGCAGGTAGATGACATGTTATGACGTAGGCATCCGCTAAGAAAGGTTTTTGATCAATTCTACCCCCAAGGGGATAAAATAGGGAATGAAAGTTTGTATGCAACTTTATCAATTTTAAACCGATAGGGCTGAGACTTTGCATGCATAAAGCTACTATGACTTAAGCATTCTCTAAGAAAGGATTTTGATCAATTTTAAACCGATTGGGCTGAGACTTCGCATGCATAAAGCTACTATGACGTAGGCACCTCCTAAGAAAGGATTTTGATAAATTCCATCACTAAGGGGATAAAATAGGGGATGAAACTTTATTTCAGGTATTTTACACGATACAATGAATAAATATTCGTTAGAAATGCTGCTCAAAGTCACTTTACCACGCGGACGAAGTCGCGGGCCAAAAATAGTTGAATATAAAATGGTTACGAATTTCTGTTCAACGAACGCGTTATAAAAAATTCCATTAAAAATAAACAACATCCACACACATCACTCGGATTCTAATATGAGTAGCTAGTTTCCGTGTTATGGAATATCCGAGAGAACGAAGGTACCGCAACACCTAGACTCAAGACAATATAAAAGACCCTTTTCTACATCAAACCGACTGGGAATCAAACCCGGGATCTCAGAAATGACGACACCTTGAAACCGGCATGCAAACCACTCGGCTACGGAGGTCTATGGTAGAAATAACGTGAGGACATTTATTAAATTACAAAATGTTTTTACGACAGATCCTGGAGTGGTTCGGCGTGTCGGTGGCGTCGTACCTGGCGGCGCTGCCGCTGGCGCTGCTGGTGGAGCTCCCTGTGCAACGCCTCTACCGCGCCCTGCGCGATCCACCACCCGTGTCAGCGCCAACGCCATCACCCGCGCCCGCCGACAAGAACCACTCGTGATCACCATACAGGTGTCGGAATCTTCACAGTTCTTACTTAATTAAGATCAAAAACCCCGCAAAATTAATACTTACAATACGAAACATGACAATTCCTATACAAACGTGTTAAATGATGAAAACATGCGCAGCGATTCAATATATTTTAAGCAGAAAAAAAATACAGGAGTTGCCTAAGTACCCTGTGTCCGGTTGATTTGGTTATGAAATAAACTGTCATTTAACTATAATCTAGTTATAAATTAACCAAGTCTCGCGAAAGTGACTTGATTAAGTAATCACATATAATGTGCGAAGTGATTGAGTAATATATTGTCAGGGCTAGATCTCAGGGGGAGAGAGTAGCGGTGTCTGCACCGGGTGCCAGTCATCCAAATAAGATACGGTTAAAAAAAAGAACAATCTTCACAATAATGTGTTCAAGTCGCTAAAAATATAAAAAAAAAACCTCAAACGGCCTCACGGAATGGTTGGGGGTTATGGTAGAGCCGTAATTATCAAGTTTCTATGAGTCCGGGGTCGAGGTAGGTATCGCTGAAGTAAAAATACTTAAACATCTCCTAACGAAGTAGTTTTATTCAAATAATTTTGTACATTAATTATGACTTAATGTTGATCAAAATTCTAGTCTACTCAAGAATTGGAATTTTAAGGATAATGGCGGCAATTCTGTTGGCACAGACGAGACTGAATTTAGTTTTAATCTCATGAAAACAAGCCTAACTGCATTTTCTTTAAATTTATGAACAAGTTAACAGAAGTAAACTTAATATATTACAGTATTCAGGAGTATAATTGTTACTGGCAACACATGTAGGAACAACGTAACTAGTGTTGCGAGACATCCTGTATTTCAGGTATAAGTTCAAATATCCCGTACATCAATTCGCTTTCAAAAATTGTGTTAAAGTGGGTTGAATAAAAAGCGAATCAATGTCCATATTTAACTATGATTATAATTGTATTGATATTTTTAAATATGTCAAGACTTGCGCACATTAAATCGCATTCTTCGTACAAACGTGTTCATCTGAAAAATATTTTAGTAGTCTTTTTTAATTTATCCCGTTTAAAATATGTCTGTTATAAGCTCTTTTAGCTGATCTGGCAACCCTAAACGTAACACAGGTCCAAATTATATAAAATACAAAAAATGTATTTTATAAAATTTGGACCTGTGTTACGTTCGAGTGGTAAATACAACAGAATTTCCACCATTGTTTTGATTGTCACATATAATCAATTTAATTGAACAAAAATTGAAGTGTGTTGTTATAAGATATGTATTAATTAACTCTAGACATTAGATATTTATACATTTAGATACAATATTGGTGTATTTTAAATGTGATATCTTCTACCCGACTACGGGATATGACCAATTTTTAGGATATATGTTGGTTTTAAGCAGGTATTATATTAAATTATATACACAAGTGAAAATATTGTTTCATTTCATCATTCTAACTTATTACATTTGCCCTATTAAAACCGAAGTGATAAGAAGTCACTTGCGGAAACTACGTTATGTATAATAGCCTAACATGCAGCCGTATGTGTACCCAGGCTAAGATCTACGATTTGTTCCAACCACGGCAGCATTGATGTTGCCCCACCCCCCGCCCCCCTTTCCTAAGATTTAATATTACCCTATTTTTGCAGCGTATTTTATATTACAAGGACGTCCAATCGTAGCCAATAATTTGTATGAATTATGATATGAACCATTTTAAGTTTTAAAAAATAATGAATGCTTATATTTTCTTTAATGTATTGTAATTAGGTGATTTTGGCGCCCCCTAATAATGACGCCCGGGGCGAGTGACCCCTTTTGGTCTCTTAAATCCGGCCGTGTGTACCAATCAATTTCATATTTTCGAAGATGTTCTCTCCTTACTAACTTTCAATTGATGATAACGATGATGTCAGTTAAAGAAAAATTAACATTATGATACATATAATATCTTTATTAAACTCCATTCACACCAGTTACAATTTTATCACATACCAACTACCTATTAACACTGTACTTTTTACACAAATTTCAATATACAGATATTAAATATTAATGGTTACCAAAGTGCATTTCTCTTCATAGAACTAAAATATTATTTTATTACTTATTTTCCATGTTCTCAAATGAAATGATGTACTTTGTATTGAGTGAATTCCTTATTGAACAAGTCTGGATGGGCAACCACTAAAATGGTTATACATTTAAACTTATTAATAGGCAACTAGACTAGTTAAAGCTAAATATTGGATATTTAATGTTAACGTCTCGAGGGTCCTGAGCCTCCTTGCCAGCCACCACGGTGACCTCCACCTCTTCCGCCAGCTCTGCCTCGGCCTGCTGCTGTAAAAAATGTCCTGAGCATCATTATTGTTCTTATAAAAATAAACAAATTAATAACACCACAATTATAGTTCTGGTATTGAAATGTTACTCAGAACCATAAATTAGGCTTAGCTTTAGAATCAGCAACTATGCATATTGTGTTTGTTTTTTTTCATACACACATATTTATTTATTTATTATTACACTATGAGAAACATACAGCACATAATCTTACCAATAGTTTTTTTACAAAAAAATACAACAATGGTCAATAAAGTATCTAATATTACTCTAAGAATTAATGTTTAAGAATTTAAAAAAAAGGACAAAGCCCATAATAGTAACAACTGACTACATTATAATTTGTTATTAAGTTCGCTTAATAGAATTTTTATACATATTAATAGACTTGTTGAATAAGTTGAAATCCAAATATCTATCCAATAGCGACAACAAGCCCAATCTAAAAATTTATGTCTATATGTGATGCCTTACATAATGGCAACACATATAGACACCTGTTTCTCGAACTGAGTACATCTAATATATATTTTTTGTAGCAGATAAGGGGAATCAATGATATTATAAGATGTTAAAGGGGATTAATTTTCCAAAATGTCAAGGTGCCAAGTTCATCAAGTAAGACAATTGTTTTAATATAAGTAAAGTTTAACTTTTATAAACAGAAGTTTTTGTTTTAAACACCAAGTTTAACAAAATAATATAAATTAAACAGAACTCATGATCATTATCAACATTACAAATATTTTTACCCATGTGTAATTTCCACCTAGTAAATTGCACCTCTGATTATGGGTTATAATAAATATAAAAATGACAATTTAGCATCCATTTTATTGATATTTACATTTTAATTACAGGTACCTGGAACTGCCGATGTTTTGTAAATATGAATAAGGTATTCAGAAAAATACATGTAAATCACAATTGTCCCAAGTAAAAATATGCAATTTGATACTTTCATACATTTATGCAGTTGTCATACAGGCTAAAAAATCAAGCAACCCTAGATAGGCACCTTTGTTCCAAATCCAATATTATAAATGTTGAATAAAACAAAAGTAAACAAACGAAATACAAACCTTGAGCGCGTAATATAGCACTTTTACCGCGTCCTGCGGTCGGTTTATTCCCTTGTCGTTTGAACATCGGAGCGTTTTTCAACATATCTGGTAATATCAGAAATCGTATTTTAGAGCCTCGGATGTAAACATTCTCAAGTTGAGCGACACGACCATCACGGTAGGTAACAGTCACCATCGTCATTTGGCAATTCATGTTATCTTCGGCTTCTATCAATTTTCCGCGGTAGACTTCGCCGGTGTTAGTTTCACAGGTCACTACATGGCCTTCAGCTTCGTGAAGTACTTTAATAGGTACACCGATTGACATATTTATTATAAATTTAGCACAATGTTATCTTAACAGAACAATAAATATCTCTAATTTTATGATGAAAAGAGATTTACCACAAGCTTCAATTCAAGAAACAAATAAACAACAAACAATGGCGGCAGCAACCAGTGTTGCCATCATTTTGTCATATAGAAATGCCGCGATAGTCATCGATATAAAAAAATAATTTTACAATATGAAGAAAGAAACATCAATGACACAAATATGCAATCGATTTTTTATCATTTACGAACGCATCTGCAGTGCTTATAGAATTAAATAAAGACATCGAACATGACATTGATAGCTGAATATTGATTCTGGATTTTTATCGAACATAAAACATCGATATTGGATTGCATACATTTTTATCAATTAATAATAAATCCAAAACATTTAAAACATTTTTATTAAAACAATTAATGTAATTCAATGTTTTAATATTTTTTGTCAATTGACTGCAAATATAACAATTGTGAAGGCACAGAACCTTTTAGCTTTTTACGCTGCTTAATATCGAGTTGAAATTCAATGAGAAAGTATTTAAAAAAAAAAACGAAAACACTAAAAAAGCTCCTCTACTAGATGGCGATCCTAGCATAAGTTGATTTTTGCAGGAAACGAATAAACCAAAGACGGTCATTTCCGTTCCTTTTAACTAACAATTAAAAAAAAAAATTGAAAAGTTCTAAACTTATATATCAATACAAATAAGTACAAATAGAATATGAGTTGTTTATTGAGTTTTGAAAACTAACTTACTTTTAAACATGAAAGAAAACCGGAAAGGTTGTCATGGAGAAATCAAGAATGTACCGTAGCGACATCTAGTTTGATTTCGGGAACTAATGTTTTTTTTTAAATACTTCCTCATTAGTTCGAGTAACGCAAACGCAACTCAAATAATACGAAATAGTCCTAGAATAAATTTATTTTTTATTTGTACAAAGGAAAATGGAAACTAACATTGCAATAAACATTTGAGTATTGAGTATAATGGAAGCGAGCATAGATTTTTTTTTTTAAAGATTATGGAATTAACGCTGTAAAATTATTAAAAGTGGCATTTGGCCACGGTAAACCATAATATGTGAAATAGTTTTTATAAATAAAATACTTATGCAACAGTAGGTCTAAGAATTTTTCATTATATTTTTTAACAAAAGTTCTGAAAACAATTACAAATAGGTAAGTTAGTTTTGTTGCTATTAGTTGTTTGTTGAACTTATAGCAACAAAACTACATCAAATCTCTACCTATGTGCAACAATCGGAATTATATAGGTATTGCCAAGCACCCAGTATAAAGAAAGACGAACCACATTCTCCGCATATTGCTATTTCTTCTAGAAAATGAAGAAACTTACCGATGTATTTACAAGTTTATAAGTTCATTTTTTGCTATGAGATTTGAATGCTGTATTTCAATCAGTTGATCAAAGCGCTGTATCTAATAAATATGGAAAGTAATCCTTTGTAAAAAAAAAGTCTGTTTGTAAAAAAAGTGTATTAATGATGTGGCTGTATGTTTGATTTCACAACCTTAAAATATAAAAAAGACCGAAACTGACAAAAATACCAAAATACCTACTATATAAGCCTGTGACCCTGTGACCAAAACAAATAAAAATTATTTGGGTTTTTCAATAGGTAAAACTGGGGTCTTTCCAAAATTAAAGTGAAATCAAGTTGAGGCAAACTTTAAAGTAAATTAATACTCTTACAATATTACAATGGCAGCAGCCACTGTGCTCAAAATCGAGCATGAAGCGGAGACCTGCTGTGTCTGTGGCAATACCGGTGAATTGTTGTCGCCGGAGGAGTACGACGCAGGTTCAAACCAATTGCCTTTACGTGCAATGTTGCTACATCTCAACAACAACAAGGTGACCGCAGAAATACAATTTATCAAATTATTTTATACAAATAGGTTATCCATCCATAATTAGACGTTTTCAATAATTAGTATAAGAACGGTTGTTACTAGATAAATCTATATCTATACTAATATTATAAAGCTGAAGAGTTTGTTTGTTTGAACGCGCTAATCTCAGGAACTACTGGTTCGAATTGAAAAATTATTTTTGTGTTGAATAGAGCATTTATCGAGAAAGGCTTTAGGCGATATAACATCACGCTGCAACTATTAGGAGCGAAGAAATAATGGAAAACGCGGCGAAGTCGCTGGCGACCACTAGTCAATAATAAATTGAATTTCAGGTTGTACCAGAAGGACGCTTTTGTACTGCTTGCATTCGACGTGCTGTAGAAGCCTATGAATTTAGCAATTCGCTGTCATCTAAAGGCGTGCCCCCATTGAGCGAGAAGATTCGAGCTCTCCGCCGTCGGTTACATGAGCTCACTCAGAAAATTGATGTTTTCATTGTTGTTGGTGGGCCTGCTACGAATGCAGGTGCAAATTATAGTGAGGACGATATCATAATGGTTGAAAAAGATGCATTAGCAGCGGCAACAGCTGCAGATGATGAGGATATGGAATGTGCTCGTAATGCTCGGGGGGACACAGTGTACCAGTGTTCTGTGTGTCCTCAATCATTCCAGGTAAATAATAAAAATAAATTAACTCACTTTTAAGAACTGTAAATTGTGGATTGATGATCTTTAAAATAAGTTTATTCCTGATTTATAATTTATTCATGTCTTATTTAAATTTTATAATGGTATCGGCTCAGATTATTTCTTTACAAATCCAATAACTGTGCTATTAAAGAAGTATTTTTGTGGAATATTAAATAACTGACTTTAGATGTCCCATCACATATGCATTATGAGAATACTCAAATAAATATGTCAAAATATTTATGATATTGCATCATGCAATACCATAATCTGTAAGTTAATTAATATTGTGAGTATTTGTCAAAGTTCCTTTATTCACTTTTAAACTATTGCACTGCATTATCGAATATGAGGGTGGTTTGTAAAGTTGTCGGCCGACCAAGAAAACAAATATAATCAAACATGATTTATTTGTACCGATTTAGAAAGGGGGATAAAATATTTGACTTTTACAATTTAATTTTGTTATTTAATATAAATTTAATTAGTATGCTTAACAAAGGTGAATCAACTAATTGATGGATATTTTTGACATTTAGGGGCCAGGGTATATCATTTGGAAGGATATACATATTCTCCCCTTGTCTCAATACAATGGCACTTGACATACAATTAAAGAATTGAGCTATCGAATGACAATAAATTAGTTTACATACTACCATCAAATTTCACTCACACTCACTCAGGCCGAGAACTTTTCTAACCACCCTCATATTTATAATACCCAATATTTCAATTTCCTTAACTAGAACTCTGATTATAAGTTCGATTATAATTTTGATAAATAGCAATATTTTGTATTTGTCAAGTTTTTATGCATAGCAGCAGTGAATGACAAGTTCACACCAGTGATCAGGTTAACTAAGTTAGCATTCAGATAATGAGTTTTGTGACAATGGGGGTTTTTTGTGCTATATGGGTATTGTATCCTTTGGTGTGATCCAGCGTGTGTCGGAGTACCGCGTGCACGTAGGCACGCACCCAGCGGACGCAGTGCACTCGTGTTGGACGTGCGGCGCGCAGTTCACGACACGCGAGGCGCTACGGGACCATGCTGCTTCGCATCAAGACCTCGTTCCGCTCGTCTGCCATCTGTGTTCCACCACATTCCAGGTACTGCCCATTTTCTTGTAATATGTAAGATTGTGATAAAAATAAGTAAATAATCTTTTGTCCAGATACGAAATTAAGTGTTTCCATAAAATATTGATGTGGTAAAATATGAAATAGCAAAAGTTCTATAAACTCAAAGAAAGATTAGATTTTTGGGCATAAAAGGCACCTTACTTTTAATGCAAGATTGGGTTTGGACTCCATGAATTTTATGTGAAAACGAAACTATAACAGTGTTATTAATAAACAAGGTTCAGCATTGGAGTAAATTTACGCTGAGATTGCACTTAGTATTAGACAAAATTCATATTATTAAACAGAGCCTTAGTAAAAGTTAACCTAGTACGAGGTTCTACAGGAGCAATATTTACTCCTAGAACATAATAGGTTGGCTTATCATCTGTATAATATGAATTTGGACCAATACAAAATTGCAATTCTAACATAAATTTACTCTTGACGCTAAACTTATCTTCTTAACACCCTGTCGCATATAGTCATTAAAATTGACATTATCAGGAAATAACATCTCTGATTCAAACTTTCAAGATCATTCATTATCATTAGGCCTTTTTTAAACGTATGGGAAATATATCCTTAAGCCTTAAACCTGGTCTATCCAATTATCATTAGACCTTAAAGTATTCATCGTGTTATGTAGTAGTGTAGAGTTGAGCAACCTGCAGATAGTTACAGTGGTTGTAATATGGGTATACAGAGTGAGTCCGAGTTGCGTCGTCACTGTGCGGGGTGCGTGGGCGCGTGCCCGGGGTGTGGCGTGTGGGCGGGGGAGCGTGTGGCGCTGTCAGCGCACGTGTTGTCAGCGCACGCGCAGTCCGCGCCGTGCGTGTGCGCGTCATGCTTCCGTACGCTCGACTCGCCCGCCGCACTTGCTGCCCACATGCTGCGGCACAGGCAAGCCCGCCAGTATGTATGCGGGTACGACGGCTGTATCCTGCGCTTCACTACCAGGTACCAGATCCCTAGCAAGGCTTGGATCTACGATTTTTTTAACCGGGGCAGAATATTCGTATGCCGCCCTACATACCTATTTTTACAATGTATGATATTTTTCTTTCATTTCATTTAGGGATTTTGAAGCATGTCCGGCCCATCGTAACCTATAATGTGTATGAAAAGATTTATAAAGCTCGTTCTTTATATATTTTTTTTATAATGCTCGTTTTTTATCTGTAAATAGGTATTATACAATGATGATTTTGGCGCCACCCTAAAACTGGCGTCTGGGGCAATTGCCCTTGCCCTCCCCCTATTTCTGTTCCTGTCCCTAGAGAAGTAAACAGAGACGTCTGAACGTCTCGATATCCTGTCTTTCGGCTCCTCGACGACGTTTATTATTTAATTACTTTTTAGTCATGCTTGCTCACTGGTTTTTATGGCGTCTCACCATGGAAGATATAGCTTTCTTCCGCGGCTTTTGTCCTTCCGTTTTCACGTTGTATATCGTTTTATCTTTCTTTCATCCAGCATTCTTTCCATAAATCCGAAGCGACAGATTTTGCCTTTGTTAATTTTTACGCCGACCCTTACCTTTGCAAATAAAACAATCCTAAAGTTTATGAGAATTAAGGTTCATCCATCCTTTCATCGAGCTGACTTTTTTATTTTATTTTTTATACCAAAGGGAACTGAGCCTTAACATTTCATTGACTTTGACGAGAGGCCGACTAAACCCGGGCTCTACTACTGCAAGGGACGGCAGTCCAGTGCAATGGGCCTACCGTGTAAAACCCTCCGTACTATCCTCTCGCGTAGTCCGGTACCTGGTTTCTGAAAATAAGGCCCAGGTAGATTCGGACCGTAGGGGTCCACGGTAGTGATCCCACCCTCCTTGTGCGGCCAGGAAATTTCCCGGGTAGTTCCGAGGAACCCTCCCCAGATAGCTGGCGTCGTGCAACGAACGTGAAGGTAGTCATCCCTCATGCTCGCCCCGTTAGGAAGAAAAGATGCGCGACTGTGCAATCTATTGTCCCTTCACTATTTCTTCTTCTGGAGGGTGCAATGTGACCTTACATATCTACTAGCTGACTATTTTAAGTGACTTTCATAGATCACTTCTAGTGATAAGGCCGATATTAATATGCCTCCTATTTTCCTATAATTGTATTTTGTTTTGTGTGTACAATAAATAATATTCTAGCTATCTATGCATATCATAGTAAGAAGGAATAGATGAACTTACACACCTATACTAGTATTATAAAGAGGCAATTGGATTTTGTCTGCATCGACTACATCATACACGTTCGGCAAGGGCTATAGTTATCGCGGGCGAAGTCGTATTATATAAATAACCCATATACTGACATAAATTTCTTTGCCGTCATTGGCCAATAATAATACGTAGAGTGTAAGTATATGAATTTATATGTGCAGAGGTAACCTGATGAATCATATTCGTAAATGTCACGCGCAAGCGGCCGCCGACGATACTCCCCCTGCGCCTCCCACTTGTGACGTCTGCAGCCGCACGTACGTACACGCAACTACACTCTTACATACACTACACTACACACACGTAAGTTAAAACCAGTGTACGCAATAATCCGATATTTATAATAAATATCAATATCATGCATATGAAAAGCTACGATTTTTAAGTTGCTAGTGGCTTTATTTAATATTTGATCTTTATATCAAAAGTTGCGTACAGGTTAATGAACGAGTTAGCCTTATTCAATTGGCTGTAAGGATCAACGAAATTTATTTTTGACATTCATTCGTACAGCTTATACACACTCTTTTGGCTTAAATAGTGTATTGTGTTTAATAGGTTCGGTTCAGTTGCCGCTATGAAACGTCACGCGCGTGTCCACAAACGTGACACTCAGCAGGGGGAACAGGTAATACATCCGTGATATATAAAAACATGCATAAAGCGTTATCAATGCGACTAAATATTTTGTGATATCTGCATTATTAGGAGATTTTTTTTTATTTTGTCACCCAGAAAATTTACTTTTTAGTTATGAGCTAAACTAAATAATATATTGATATTTCGAGTACGAAAATACCAACTAATGTGGCAGCTTGTGCAGAAGACTAAATTTCGAAACGCAACATACTGCGACCAATCAAAATAATTCAAGTATCCATTCAGACGATCTGTGCGCCGTAATCCCCGCAAAGTGTGAGTGAGACACCTATTATTAAAATAAGACTCATATTTTTTAATCATACGTTTCATTAGTCCTGTCGGAATAAGGTTGTGTCCGTAAAACGTGAAGTTGTAGGACACAACACAGGTTATATGCTCTGAAAACATGTACCATTTTAACATAAAAATATAAAAAAATAGCACCAATTCGGAAATATTATGCTTTGAAAACTTGCAAAAAGTAGGGAAAATATATTACAACAATTTGATAAAATACATATGGCATATTTGATAAATTTAATTAGTGTTGTATATCGAAGGAGCAGGTGATACGTTAGACAAACAAGCTAGTTAGTTGCACACTGATTTATTACAATATAAGGAAGGGCGTGGCCCGTTCTAACTACCCACATACATACATAACATCCCTTCCCCTTATAGCTAGGATAACATACACATTATTTTTATAATTAAACATAACCATTGATTAACAATACGACTATATAATATCTAGGTGTCCCGTTCGCTATCTGATGTAGGTGTCGAAAATATAGGACTTATAGCTTGCCTCCTCCGGGAAGTAATAGCAGTTGGGGTTGCTGGATATTCTGTTCCAGGAGGATTGTTGGTCACGTCAGTCTGTATTCCTCCTTCTTCTCCTTCCTGCACCAAATCGGGAACAATATCTGGATCCCAGTGCTGACAGTCATATTGAGTGACGGAAAGCCGAAGTCTAATCTGATCGATGTGCCTAGTAACATCGCGATCCAATTGAGGTATATATATCAAATACATGACGTTTCCGAGCTTTTTCCTAATAATTCCTTCAATCCAGTAATATTGTTTAGTGTTCATGTTTTTAGTTACCCAAACATTGTCTTTTTCTTTGAATTCTGGTCTTTTGGTACCCTTATAATATTTAGCCTGTGAATACTGATTACGTTCGACGGTTAAAGCCAAGTCTGTGGACGAAGGAAACGGTATGTTTGGATTTATAAGATCTAAACGAGAACGTAATGAGCGTCCGAATATTATTTCCGCGGGTGATTTGTCAGTTGTGCTATTTTTAGAGTTCCTATAATCAAAAAGAAATTTTGCTATTTTCTCTCCCAATATTTTTTTATTTGATTTATCCATGAGGATACTCTTCAAACCCTTTTTTACAATTTTTACAAATATTTCACATTGCCCGTTACTCGCAGCGTGATAGACAGGAGATAAAATATGCTGAATTCCATTGAGCATACAAAAATCTTTAAATTCTTGAGAAGTAAAGGAGGTACCATTGTCACTTACCAATATGTAAGGAATACCGAATCGCGACATCCATTCATATAACTTTTTAATTACTGCCTTTGAACCGTGAGCCGAGGTCATATCATAACATTCAACCCACTTACTATAAGCATCGACAACAATTAAAAACATAGAATTATTAAATGGTCCTAAAAAGTCGATGTGAATCCTATAGAATGGATGAGGCGGTAGCGGCCAGGGCGCGAGCGGGGCGTGTGGGGGCGCTGGGCGCAGTTGTGCGCACACGCCGCACACGGCCGCTCGCCGCTCGATCGCCGCGTCTATGCCAGGAAACCAAAATCGCTTACGAGCTTCGGCTTTCATTTTTACCACACCAAAATGAGAACTATGTAATTCGTTACAGAGTGTTTCTCGTAGGGACTCGGGAATTACTACCTTATGCCCACGCATTAGGCAACCGTTTTCGTAAGCTAGTTGTGTTTTACAATTATGATAAGGTTTCAATTTGATATCTTTTACTTTTCTCGGCCAACCGTTTAATATATAATGTCTAATCTGACTCAAAATTTTGTCACGACTAGTTTCGGTTTGTAATGTTTTCTTAGTCACTGGCAAGTCTCCGTCTAACACAAAGTTGACATAAGCCGCGCGCTCGTCACTATCTGATAACTCCTCCGGTGGGCCGCGCTCGCTGATTGCGGGTGGGGGGCACGCTCGTGATAAATAATCGGCGCTGTTAAGTTTACTGCTGATGTACTCTATTGTATAATTGTAGGCTGCTAGGAACATCGCGTACCGCTGTAGTCGATTAGCGGAAACCTCCGGTATACCCTTATGTGGACCGAAAATGGACAACAAAGGCTTATGATCCGTCCGTAATACGAAAGGTATCGACCGTCCATATAGGTATTGATGATAGTGTCTAATGCCGAAGATTATAGCTGTAGCTTCTTTCTGAATTTGTGCATAATTCTTTTCCGCCGAAGTGAGTGTTCGAGATGCGTATGATATCGGCCTCTCTAACCCGTCATCACACACTTGCGACAAGATAGCCCCTAAACCGGTAGGCGAAGCATCCACTGTTAAAATTAACTTTGCTTTTGGGTTGAAATGTGCCAAAATATTATCCGATGCCAATATATTCTTAATGCGACTGAACGCAGCATCGTGTATAGCGGTCCATTCCCATTTTGAATTTTTATTTAATAAATTAAACAAAGGACTTAGTATCGATGATGCGTCCGGTACAAAGTTTCGGTAATAATTGGTCAATCCTAAAAATGATTGTAATTGTGACACATTTTCCGGTTTAGGTGCTTTTAGGATAGCTTTTACCTTTTCCGGCGATTTCCTAACCCCATTTTTATCTATGACATGACCGAGGTAAATAATTTCGTTTTTAAAAAATTCGCATTTACTTTTTTGAACCGTTAAGCCTGCGTCTTCTAAACGTTGTAGAACCGCGATCAATCTTTCTTTATGTTGCTCTTTCGATCCGCTTATTAAAATATCGTCTAAGAGGAATATTATTCCATCTATCCCCGCGAGAAGACACTCCATCGTCCGTTGAAAAATGGCTGGTGCGGGTGAGAGACCGAAAACTAAACGGGTAAAATTAAAAAGACCGCGGTGTGTGTTTATACATGTTAATTTCTGTGACGCCTCGCTTAATATACATTGGTTATAGGCCATAGATAAATCTATTTTACTGAACTGTACTCCCCCGTGAAGCTTAGCCAATAGATCATTTACCGTGGGTAAGGGGTACTGATCTACTAGTAATTGTTTGTTTATCGTAACCGAGTAGTCCGCACATAAGCGAATGCTACCGTCCTTTTTTAAAACTGGTACTATCGGAGAAGCGTATTCAGAGTGTTCGACAGCCTTTAAAACTCCTAACGCTAACAAGCGATCGAGCTCCCTATCGATCTTTTCTTTCAAAGCGTAGGGTACCGGTCTGGCTTTAAAAAAAATCGGTTTCGCGTCTGGTTTTAAATGTAAATCAACAGTGTATTTATTAAATGACCCTAACTCCCCAGAGAAAACCTTTGGAAATTTAACCATTAATTGTGATATAAAATTGTCCCCCCGTTGACCTTGACTTTTTGAAATGACGGCATGTATGCTGGCAACGGTCGGCGATGGCGCCACTGGGGCTAACTCCAAGTTGAATGTTCGAATGAAATCACGGCCCAGTAATGACGGGCCGCCATCACGTACAACGTACACGTCTAAAGTATGAGTGTTGTTGTTATACGATATAGGCAGTGACACAGTTCCTAATGTTTTAATTTTTTCCCCTGTATAACTTAACAATTTTTTATTGGTCAGTGACAATGGTTTACCTTTAAAATAGTTTTTATACGAATTTTCAGAAATCACGCTTACTGCCGATCCGCTGTCGATTTCGAACTCCAAAACTAGCCCCCCAATCACAACACTCTCTGTCATAGGTCTCCCTTTGACACATCGAATATTGTAAAAACACTCACCATCGTCCCCCTCGTCCACGTACTTCACCCTACCCTCAAAAGTACACATTCTACGGAGATGACCCTTTTTATTGCACTTTTTGCATTTATAATTTTTATAACGACACTGATTGAACTTATGATTGGCATAACCGCACACACTGCACTTTTCTTGTTTGGAGATGCTGAACACGGTGTCCGAGTTGAATGTACCGGTGCCGGTCACGCCGCCACCCGTCGCCAGCGACGAAGCCAGGCGCGCATTACGCACACTCTCTGCTAGCTCGATGGCTTTCGCCAGTGTCAGCTCCCGCTGATCCTGTGCGAATAGTTTATCGCGCTCGTGCCCTGCCGTCATGCCCATGATAAATCTATCTAAAAGGGCCTCTTCCAAATTCTTAAACCCACAATGTGCCGCCAATCCTCTAATCCTCGCTGCCCATTGAGTGTGACTTTCTCCTGGCCGTTGACTTGCTGAATAAAAAATAGATTTCTCAGCAAACCCGAATCTTTTCGGAATAAAGTGGTCATCGAGTAGCTTCACTATAGTCTCGTAATCCAATTCTTCCACATTTTTCGGTAAGGCCAGGTCACTTGCTAGCTTGAAAGTCGATTCACTTAACGCACTCAATAATATTGCTCTTCGTTTTACCGACGCTTTATCAACTTCTTTTGTTATGTCATTTGCTATGAACCACTGATTTAGGCGTGATTTGTAGCTACTCCACTCGTTTGATAAGTGTTCAAAAGTAGGAAGTAAGCCAAATGACATTCCCGTCGACATAATTTTATTTTTCAAAGTTCGTCGCCTCGTCGCCACGTGTTGTATATCGAAGGAGCAGGTGATACGTTAGACAAACAAGCTAGTTAGTTGCACACTGATTTATTACAATATAAGGAAGGGCGTGGCCCGTTCTAACTACCCACATACATACATAACAATTAGTTACTTAAAAAGTTATTACCATCATTATAACAGCTTTAAACACAAACACATACGCTACCATAGCACTGTGTGACGTCAATATGGACTAGCAGCAGTTCCACCAACAGCACCGTATTTCCGAAACAATTAATCGCAGACATACTGTTACTTTACATTACTTCTCAGATATTAATGCATTATTTATTTATAAAATAATAAAAAAATGTGTTGGATAAAACCGAGTGGTAGATCTGCTCTGCGTAAACGAAGATTCGCCTTGCGCCACATTATTTGGAACTTACTGTAATACCTAAGGTTTTGTATTTTACACCACTTACTTTACCTTAATTATCTTTACAAGGAGCTGCCCTGTATTTCTATTGACCGCAGGACTACAATTATAAGTTCCTTTCTTAGTGTTCCTTACTCAAAGGGTTAAATTGGAACTATATTTTTAGAATGACTAAGAAACCGAACGACTGACCTGCACTGCGATTCTGTAAAAATCCAAACGCGAATTTGAATTCACTCAGGTGGCCGAATTCACTTTCAAGAAGCGGCATCCGCTCGACCTTGAATTGATAATAACTTTTCGTGACATAATTGAAGTGAGTTAAGAAAAGATATAGGAATAATATCTGTTACACGTATATTGAATTTTGTTTGTTTTGAATTTTATACAAAAATGGAATAGAATTTCTACATTCGGACATCTGAGTGATCACGAATTCGGGTTTAGATTTTTCACTGAATCGCAGGGCCGATCTGATCAAAAATAAATGTTCTATGATAGGTCAATGTATTGTCGTTTCATAACAGTTTTCCGTGTATTTAATAAGTAATTGTAACAGGTGAACAACTCTCAATTGGAGGAGGTGGGCATGGAAGGCGTCGAGGACGGCGAGGTGGAATATCTCGAGGTAGAAACATTAGACGACCCCGACTATCACGAGTGATTATATATATAGAATAATTATATAATTATACGATTATTGTCACGCCATTAGTTACTAAAGTATGTATATATTACATTACATCTGTGAGGTATAAAGACAAAAAAAAATAAAAAAAGACTATTGGAAAATAATTGCACTATAAAAACAGTCTTACTAAAAATCATACATTTATTGAATTAATGTTTGACTTTATGTAACTGCTATACGATAAGCGGATAATATTCTTGTTATTACATAAAGGCAAAAGTGTTCAACCCATATAATTAGCCTGCAGTAAGGTTTTTCTTATGTTTTCAACTAAAACATTGGCTAAGTAAATTTGACTCTATACAGATTTGTATAAATATGTTCGATTATTAAAAATAAAACCTCAAACAGATGATTCGTGTTAGTGCATAGATGAAGTTATTGTGATAACAATGAACTGAAAATATAAATTAAGACTTGAAAGTTTTCAGCTAAATATAAGTGCGATTTGGATTTGGTGTAATCCATCATTATAATTTCCGTTTTCCCATATATTTTATTTATAATCTGTGCAATGTGTATTCTTCCTCATAACTTCTCGATTAGCCATCATTTTAACATTTACTCCTTTCTTATACATATTACCTTCAATATATCTTAATAATATATGAAATCTATACTAATGTTATAAAAAAGTTAAGTGAGAGAGATGTGATTGTGAGTAGAATAAGCTTCGAAACTGCTTTTAAAGATTATTTCATCTATGGGGAGCTACATCATACACGGGTGACATCAGACTCTAATCTACGCGGATAAGTCACAGGAAAAGAGCTTGTGTGAAATAATAAACTTTTATAAAATTCAACAATTTATTTTTATTATACTCTATCTATAAAATTTATAATAGATAACATTATTATCTAGAGTCTATAATAGATCTTGTTCAAGACAAATTCTTCAATATCTTTTCTACTCTTTGGTATTGATACTGTTTTTAAAATTTTCGAAACTATTTTATTAATGATAATGTATTAGGTTCTAATACGAATACCTTGCAAAGTACAAAGGGCAGAAGGAACGCAATATAATTTTATATATATTTTTCACGATAACTAAGTCATAGAAAAAATATTTGTTTAAATAAATAAATATTACATTTTCTTCGTTCGTATCGATTCACATAAATTAACTTAGTTATACAAGTCAAACACGAACATGACAGTGATGTTGAAATAGCGATATTCTTATCGATAGTATTGTGGTTTACATGTATTTGTTTTTTATACTAAGCCACATCGAATGTATATGATCACGTGAACATAGTTATTAAAGTCGTTATTGTGATTGTATTATTGAGACTTTTTCAAGGTCACTTTATCGATAGATTTAAAAGCTTACAATAGGCCGACGCCTTTGAAGTCGCTCTAATTACCGCTTTTAATAAAACATTTGTCACTGCTGCAGGATTTTGATATTTTTCATTAAGAATTTTCATTTACCATATTCCCAAGCGAGTGTATGGTAGCTCTGGCTCGGTCGCCCCTTTTACCTCACGTACTCACGATTCGCCCATTGTCAAGACGCGCCCGTCGGCCGGACATTATAGAGTATACCTTTAATATCGCTATCACAATAACCGGTCTTAATCTCGATGGCTCAGATGTACCATGACATTTTCAGGAGAAGCTCAAGTTTAAAGTCCGAGTTCATGGTATGTGCTCTGATAAATTCCTGGGATTTCATACGAGCCTGCGTGCATCAAGCCTAATCACGTTTAAAAGTGCGCTACATAATTCCTTCTAATGAACACGAAAAATAATGTTCGGTACGGTTAACTTGATGTTTTGAAGCATTTTATTAATTAAGCGAGCACTTAGCACCAAATTGAGAAAATTTTGACCTTTATACATGTGGGCGTGGATAAAGTGAACTGATGACATATCTACTGTGTGTGTTGCGTGAGCGGCCGCTGCCTCAGTATGACGGCCACGCGCCGTCGCCGCGGTACAGTCGCCCCGCGCCACACGCTGTCACTAGTGCCACACACCGAGTGCGACATGTTGTACCGCGCCACGCCTCTACAATAACACACGTCTACCGTTACATACATACAAACGGATTGGTGGCGTGTTTACAGATTTGAGGCCACAGACCTCCCAGGCTTACCACCTCATAAAACAAACAATAATTATAGAAGAAACAAAAATATACACTATTAATTAAGTTATACTGGGTGGAACAGAACGACCGACACTCCCGAGGTTCCTAGAGAGTACTATTTGTCTTTAAAATGATGTAAAAAAAATTATATGATATTGCACATGCGCGTTATAGGGTTCTCAACACTTAGAAATTTAAAATTTTTACTCCATTTTTACACCTCCTCTATTTTGAAATATTTGTCAAATAAAATGAAAGTTTGCATAAAACCTAACTTGAAACTTTCGGCTGTGTCGGTCATTTTGTTGTTCCCTGTATATTAATCAAGAGGAAGACCTCCCTTCTTTCTTCTCCCTTGTAAGAAAACATAGTTTCAACACCTCTCTTAACACCTAACAGCCGATAATATGGATTCTCAATTGTATCTTATGTAGCAGATATTATTAAATGAATTTTAACTTTTAATGACTTTATTCTAGTACTACTTTTAGGTTAACTTGTTTTAAAAATGGCTATATTTACTTATTTCATTATAGTAGACAGTGATAGCATTTTTTTTTATAAAACTATTGCTAATATAACTTATTAATAGCAGTGGCGGACAGGGAGGCGGAGAAGGGATGGAACGCAAGTGATAAATAGTAATTTATCTAGGCAATTAAAAATGTTGCAAAAACGGGAGTATATGTTACTTTTTGTGAGTTTTTTTTGCGTGCGCTGCGTACGCAACGCAAAACTCGTGTATTACGAAATTGACCCCCATTGAAAGTTCTAAAAAAAACTCCCCAGTAGCATATGTCTATCTTATATTCCGAAAAAAGCACACAAAGGGAAGAAAATGGGAGTGGAAGTTCGCATAGGGCATTAAATCGTTACCGACCATTGTTTACAATTTAATTTATCATCGTATTCCATGTCATACTTTTCAAAATCTATTATTAAGTTATTTAAGCTGTTAACGCAGGATTTAATAATGTTTAGAATAATTCAAATCGGTATAATCGTTGTCACTAATATTAAAAGCATGTTATATTGGTAAGTACACGAAAATGTCACATTTAGCTGACGCTACTGATCAGTGGATGACGCTTCTGTTCTTTTAAAACTGGATTATGATTCTTGTTATGTTTTTAGTCTTTATTTTTTCCGATTTTTATCAAAGTAGCGTTAGTTTTCAAGTTTGCGGTTTTACCAATAACATCATTTAATAAGAAATTATTATTAGAGCGAATAAATAAGATGTGACATATAGTTGACGCTACTGCTCACTAGATGACACTACTGTACTTTTAAAACGAGATTTTTATTTTTGTCAAATGTTTGTAGACTTTATTTTTATCCGATTTTTATCAAACAAAGTAGCATTGTTTTTAATTAATTGATTTTTCGATAACAAAATTTAATGGGAAATACGGATGTAGACAGTAAACGTAAATAAACATACTATTACCGATAATCACACTTTTATGCTTATATTTATAATATTACTTTAATTAATTATGAAACAACAAATATCTTATACTGGTTGTCACGTACCCGCAAACAGCACGTGACGTCACACACACTCAGATCAGGGGGCCAATTCTACTAAATAAATTTTGTTTAAATCGAATCGAAAACGGATCGATACAATTCCAGCTAAAATAGAACTGGAATTGTATCGTATGTCACTTTGTAGAATAGGAAAACCATTAAAAACTGTAGTTTCGTTCGGTTCCGATCCGTTTTCGATTCGATTTAAACAAAGTTTATTTAGTAGAATTGGCCCCCTGAACTTAGAGAATTCAACCTTATACATACATTGAACGTAATTAGTTTCAGAGGGCCGTGACGATTTTTATCGAACAAAGTCGCTTTAATTTTCAATTTTGCTGTTCCATATCCATAGTCAACATGGAATTCTTATGGTTTCATCATGTCCGTCTGTCTGTCCGTCGGTCAGCGGTTTAATTTAAAAACGATTTGTATTAGAAAGGGGCAATGATGTATACACTTGCTATAGCATGTGTATACATTTATATCACGCGGAAAGAGCGATAAATAAAATCTTGAATTTTTTTTTCTAGTTGCGTGTAAACGTTGCGGAAGAAATTTTTTTTTTATCTTCCCACAGCGTAGGCTTTCGTTGGATAGGTCTTTTAAAAATATTAGGGGTGTGGGAAGACCGTTTTTCAATTAAAATTACCATTTGTGACTCATTAAGCTTCAAAATGCCAATTTCCGTTAGAGTCAAATGTCCCTCTTTTCTACCAACTGAGCAGTTGTCGTTAGAAACTCAAACTTTACGGAAGTAGTATTTATATATAACGAATTTTATAGGACTAGTATCACACATAACTTGGCTTTACTCTTAAAATGAAAGCCTTTATCTGAAAGTCCAGAATAAGAACAGCAGTCAAATATCTAGATCAAAGCAAAACGACGGCGTAATTATTAAACGACTTATATAAAAGAACTATTATTTCAAGGAGAACTTTGTATTTTTTGCAAGGCGTGATGATTCTACTGCGTACTAAAATGGAAAGACGACCATCTGGACTATTCTATGAAGAAATGCGTGTTATCCACATAAACGCCGCGCCGGTAGATTTTTCTTATTTGGTTGTATCTATTGGGCAGGCCTATGCCCCAGCAGTAAGTACGTCCATAAGCTAATGATGTTGATATAAAGGCTGCTTACTGGCAGATTTTCAATTAAGATTAGCTTCAGCCTCTATTATAACAGGTCAGAGTGCACACAATGCCCTCGGACCATCTGGGCAAAGCCGCGGATTACAGCTAGTAATATAATAAAGTAAATGCAATATCAATTTCCTACCGCGATGATCCGCCACTGATCAATAGTGTCGATACTGTCGGCTACCGATAGTTGTTTTCGTTAGGAGACTCCAGATCGGCACTTTCATCAATAAAATTATTGAATCAAACAAAAACTTAAGCTTACCTCATGATATATAAGCATCGTCTCTCCAGTAACGCGTCTACAGCGAGATGTTTCTTCTCAGGGTGTTCCAGCCTCATCACCGCGCTAGATAACAGGCACAGACCCGCTATCACGCCGCCGCAAAACTATAGTCAATTTATAATTTTAATATCTTTTGTCATACAAAAGAAAGTAAAAACTCCTTTTTTTATCAAATCCACCCCTCCCTACGGGTATGCATATCTAAGTATAACAATAGAACGCAGCCAAAGGAGGTGAAAGAAAGACATTTTCAAATTCATTACATGAAAACACGTAAATCATCCAGGGCCAGCCTGTCCATATAGGCAACTGCCTAGGGCGCTTCATATTTGTATGGCGGCATGGCATAATTTGTTTCGCTCTTAAAGTTATGGAGTAACTTAAAAAAATACTTTTTGTTCTTAAGACATGTATCTATGCCCATGGTATTTAAAAGTACAAAATACTCAGATTAGCAGAATGTGCCTAAAGAGATTGTTTTGTCATTGGCAAAAGTAGTCTTATAATAAAATAAGTGTCTCACTCTGACGGCGTCGATGTGCGGGCGAATGTGTCCAGCAGCGGCGAGGTCGAGAACGTGTGCGTGTGGTAGCGGCTCGCCGGCGTCTGCACCGCTGAACGCGGTGGCTTGCACGCGCGTCAACACCGCCGCGTTCCCATCCGTCCACTTACCACGCTCTGTCTCACGGTAACCTTGAATGGCCTGGACAGGAGATGCCCACATTCGATTTAATTTTTTTATGTGACATCATTTGCTCAGATTTCAAATTAAATAACTTTTAGATATTGTTTTATAGAAATCGGAAACAACGAAGATACTACAACACGCACATCAGAAATAATAAAGACTAGTTTATTTTTCTACATTGACCCGACCGACCAGGAATCAATCTCAGTGCATCAGAGATGTGCAACAATGTGAAACCAGCATGCGAGCTGCTACAGATAGAGATGGTATTTATTTACTATTTATATAGGTTATTATAAAAATCAAAGCAATTTGAATAGAAAGAGAGTACCACCAAGGGAAGCTGATAAGATAAAAAAACAGTATTATAAGTACTAGCTGTAACCCGCGGCTTCGCGCACTTGGTCCGAGTTTACTGTGTGCACACTGGCCTGCTATACTGGAGTTTTAAGATAATCTTAATTATATAACTTGCCAGTAAGCATCCACCTTTATATCATTATCATTAGCTTATCAACGTCCCCACTGCTGGGGCATAGGCCTGCCCAAATCATGGAACCAATTATGGAAAATCTGCCGGTGTTTATGTGTATAACGCTCATGTTTTCATGGAGCAGTCCAGTTGCTCTTCTTTTTATTTTAGTGCGCAGTAGAATCGCCTCGAATAATACAAACGTTTTCTTTTAAATAATAGTCCTTTTATTGAAGTCTTATTCTAGGCCTGATACTCATAGCAACTTGATGGTTAACTTGTTCTTGCTTTCTCGATTCAGCATTTTTAGAGATTTAGTGCGACACGTGCGTGAAATTTTGCCAACGGATATTCTGCCATCTCTTTAATTTGTAGGTATCCAACATATATAATTTCGTCGACTAAGTATTATTTTTTCACCCAATTTAATATCTAACTCTAATATTATGAATTTAAGTTGCTATTTTAGATAAATTGTTTCCTACCATTAGTAGTTAATTTTAAGTATTTTTTTTTACTTTCAGTTATTCATAATTATCGCCATTTTACATTTTTCGCAAACATATTAACGCTCCTCAGTTAAGTATTAAAGTGTCTCGTAATAGTCACAATACATTATTTTGTCGTCCGATGAATAATTCTTCATTAAAAAATATTATTAAGAAAAAAAAATAGATTATAAAGGTACTAACGCTGAATTAATCTGATATTATTGCGTTTTTATGGATAATGGTTTATCCATAAAAAAACGCAAGAAACTGGTTTGATGTTTCCACAGGAGTTGTTCAAAAACTTGTAAAGTCCAACTCAAGTGTGATAATTTTCCTTTTAAATTCGTTATAAATACTACAGCCGTAACATTGAGTTTCTAACAACAGCCGTTTAGTTGGTAGAGAGGGACATAGGACTCTAACGAAAATTGGCGCTTTGAAGCTTAGATAAGTCACGAACGATTAACGAAATCGAAAAACGGTCGGAATATTTTAGAATGCCCTATGCAACGATACCCCACACAATTGAAAGATAAAAAAGAATCTTATCTTTAACTTTACGTGTAGGGGAGGAGATATTATTTACCGTTACCATGTAAACTACACCTTTCTAATTCAACAAACAGTTTTTGGGTTAAACCGCAGACCGGCTGACCTGACAGACAGACAAAGATGACGAAACTATGGAACCGCAAAATTAAAAATTAAAACAACTTTGTTTGATAAAAATCGGAAAAACAATAAAGGCGAAAAATCAAAACCACCTTTTAATAATACAGTAGCGTTATCTAGCGAAAACAGCTAATTATATCATTTAATTTTATCGCCTGATTTTGTTTTACTATTTCCCATTAAATTATGTTATTGGAAAAGTCGCAAAATTGAAAACAAAAGCTACTTTGTTTTATAAAAATCGAAAATTAAAGATTATAAACATAACAAAAATCGAAGTCCCTTTTAAAGAGTACAGTAGCGTTATCTAGTGATCAGTAGCGATAGTTAAACGTAATATTTTATTTTTCATCTGATTTTCAATCCTAATCTTTGATGAAAACAAAAAGGGACGATACGGCACAGTGCATGTGCAAAACTACAATTAGGTGCACGCACATAATTTTGCTTTTGATACGAGTACTAGAGTATATATATGTACATGGCGAGAGAGAGAATGGATCTTAGCTGTGTCAGAGTATTAAGAGTAAGTGCTCTTCATTCATACGCACCGAAAATGGTTTGTGGCACACACTTACAAAATAATCGAAGTTATAGGAGTTCAAGGCATGAGTGGCAATTCACCAGCAGGGCTTTCTTTCGACTTTTTTAGTATGGATAGAATATAGGTGGGCGATTTAACAAAAGGGACACAGCAATAACCGAGCAATATAGACAAAACATATTCAAGATACAATGTTGCCACTAACATAATATAATTTCGTTTTTACTGAAATAAAATTAATAAAACATAATTTAACCACCACAATTTAAAATAGAGGATTATTATTATTTATAAAAAGTTTATTTACATTAAGAAACCGTCTACAAAAATAAATAGAATAATTACTTATACAGACTATTCAACAAAAAATTAATTCAATATGTTCCAGTAGTTCTTGAGATTATAGAATTCAATTAATCAAACAAACTCTTTAAGCTTTATTTTAGTATAGATGATGCTAAGTCCTAGATCTGTGGTTCATTACCAGTGATCCATGGACCACCATGGTAGTTCCTGGAAGCATACCAAGTGGTCTGTGGAGCAGGTTTATTTATAGATTATATATTATAGATATAAGATAATTTATTCATCTTCATTTACATTAAGCATATTAAACCAAGTGATTGGTCCATGGTATAGTATAAATTTGTCAAACTGACTGAAAGGTTTAGAACCACTGTCTTAGATAATAACACATAATAAAATTCTTTGCATTGTCCAGTAATCTCTAATTATATGATGGATTATAAGCTGCTCAATTTATCACGTGGTTATATTAGACAATTTCTTAAACAAACAAATTAAAAATTATTTTGTTTATAACATACATTATCCCAGTGATCAAATTCATAGCGCATACGTTTGAGTACAGGTTCTAGTTCAGCCAACAATGTAGTTTCCTCCTGTTCAGTGATGAAGTTAGGTATGATGCGCATGTCACGTAACACATTTGCACGTAACTCTGGCTCTTCGTCTGCTGGCCATGTTGGACAAACTTCCAAGTGATTCAGGTCACTTGCTGTGACATTTGAGAGAGTCAGTCATATATTTTTAAATTTAGTTACAATAAAAATTATTGTTATCAAGCTATTATTTTAAGATAGATTTATCATTGACAATAATATATGGTTTTTATTTTTAAATTATAAAATAAAAATTATTAAAACTTAAGTATGTTAAATTTGAACCAGAGACTTGACACAAACAAGGTTTTAAATATTTAAGTTGTACTGTTGATTTGAAATGGGATACCTGCGCTTATTTTAGGTTGCGTATTGTCTTGACTTATAAATCTTGGTGTTGGTGTATGGTAAAAAGGTTTTAATTTACATTTCCAAAATATGCTAACCCTTTGAAGTCTCATTATAATTGTATCTAATAATCACCTGACTATTATGTCCATTTACTTTTATCTAAAATTGATATCACATTAAATGTTTATGTTTTTATCACCTGTTTTTTTTTTTTTTTTTTCTTTATTGAAGCTTTGGCTACACTGACCATCAGCTTAAACATTAAATGTGAAAAGAAATCTTAACAAAATTGTACTACAAACTAACACAATGAACTTAAATAATATAATAAAACTTACAGTAAAACTAAACGAAAAACACACATTAATAATAAAAAATACAAACAACTTTTATATATATATATATATATATAAGTAGACTAAATTTAAAGTTATAAAGGATCAAAAGTATTGACATAAAAATTATAAATAATACAATAAATCTCTTGTATCTTCAATAACTCTTTTACATTTAGAGGAAAATTTTTGGAAGGCATTGTTTCAGAAAATAAACTAATAAACAGAAGGCGTTGTATATTGAAATATGGACAATTAAAAAATAAATGATCAAGATCGCAATTTGTGAAGTTACAATATTTACAAATGGCGTTGTTACTTAATCTAAGACGGTGAAGATGAGATGGAAATTTACAGTGACCTATTCTTAATCTACAGAAGCTAGTTATAAATTGCCTACCGAAGTATTTTGATTTTTCAAACCAAGCTGTAGTGTTGGGTACAGGTACAATCTCGGCATGCCATTTACCTTTAGTTTCGCGAAAATGATCTAATGATAAAGACCATCTTTTGATCATGTTGTCTTTCAAATAAGTGATTAAATCACATAAAGGAATTTTATAGTCGTTTATTGTAATAATGTTTGGAGCAGAACGTGCAAGTTTATCTACAAACTCGTTACCAAAAATACCAGAGTGTCCTGGAACCCAGCAGAACTCGATTACAATATTAATGTTTTGTAATGATACTACTAAGTGTCTTAATTCATAAAGAAGGTAATTTTTGTTAGAATTAATACTTTTTTGTTCTAGAGCTTGAAGTGCACTCATTGAGTCACAAAGAATTAAAAATTTTGATGAATTTAGAAAATTTAAATTACATGAAATATATTTCAATGCATAGATCATACCTAGAACTTCGGCAGAAAATATTGAAAAATGTGTATCACAAGAATAGATTTTACCAACTTTGTTTGTAGAATCATAAAAAGCAAAACTAGTGCGAGATTTACTTTTCGACCCATCGGTGTAAATTTTAATATAGTCGCTTTTTTCATCTAAAAACATATAAAAATCGAGTTTAGAGTCGAAACGAGACAAAGTTACAGGAATGTTTCGTAGCATAGACTGAAAATTATATGAAAAACAAGGGCTTAACTTCGTCCAATGCACAATGTCCTGAAACTCGAAATTTAAATATGTAATAGAATCAGTCAAAGTGGGGGCAATTCTGAGTGGAATGTTATTATAATTAGGAATATTACAGTTTTGTAAGTAGCGGATTACAATAACATTTTCGCGACTAACTAAATTTAAGCAGAACTTTTCCGTAATGTAACTACGTCGTACCATTAAAGGAGGTATCCCAGACTCGACTTCAAGCGAATTAATGGGGGACGACATCATAGCGCCGGTAATAACACTTAAAGATTTATTCTGTAAGACATCGATTTTACGCAGCAAATGATTTGATGCATATGCATAAAAAATACAACCGTAATCGAATTGACTACGAATCATAGATATATACAAGTTTTTTAAAATCTTTGGATCAGACCCCCAACTTACCCCTACCAAAGACCTTAAGATATTTAAACGAAGTTCAGCCTTCTTACAAATGTAAGTTATGTGTGACTCCCAAGACAGATCAGAATCAAGCATGATACCCAGATATTTAACAGTGTTTCGATAAGGAATCACTGAATTATTATAAAAAATGCGAGGAGATATTGTGCGACTGATTCGTTCAAAGACCATAACAGAACTCTTATCTACATTTACTTCAAGCTGAAGGTAATTGCTAAGCATATTACTTAGATTACTAAGACAACTGTTCATAGAGTGCACTCCTTGAGAAATATCATCGTACTCTAAATAAATAACTAAGTCATCAGCGTAAAAGGAATAATTAACAGAATCAGGTATAGCTTTCATGAAATTAATCATGCAAAGAATAAAAATTAAAGGGGACAATACAGAACCCTGTGGAGTACCTTTGAAAGAATTCTTCGATCCAAAAATACTATTGTTAACTTTTAAAGATAAAGAACGGTTGTTTAAAAATTTAAAGATCCAGGATAGAATTGAACCGGGAATTCCTAATGAGTATAAACTTTCGATTAAGTATACATGATTGATATTATCAAAAGCTCCTTTTATGTCTAAGAATACAGCTAAAGTAGATTTATTTTTCCTGAAACTATTTTGGATATCGCCAATAAGGCAACTTAAATTATACATTGTATTCTTTCCTTTACGAAAACCAAATTGATAATCTGGAATTTGTGAATTATGTTCAACAAACCATTCTAGACGATTTTTGAGCATAGTTTCAAATAACTTTGCGAAACAAGAAGTTAGAGATATCGGTCTATAGGAATCTAAATTATTGGAGTTCATGTTAGGCTTTAAAATTGGGACTATCAGTTGAAATTTCCAACTAGGTGGAATAACGTTAGACAACCATAATTGATTATAAATATTTAAAACGATTATTTTTACAGCCTTAGGTAAATGTTTTATAACAGTATATGGAATGTTATCAGCACCAGGTGACGAATTCTTTTTGTTATCTAACGCGGAATCAAATTCATGTAATTCGAATGGATCTAGCATCCATTTTGCTGTCTCGGAACCTTCAGAAGAAAAACATGGGCTAATGTAGTTAGAAGAAACAGAGGACGTTGTTGATGTAATTTTATTTAAGAAAGCTGTTGCATTAGAAGGATTTTTGAAAAATTGAGATTTAGAAGTATTAGAGCCTAATTTGGCGAATTTAAATCTTTTGATATGGTCCCATATAAATTTAACTGGTGTCAACCTATTAAATGAACTACATAGATTAGTCCAGCCTAAACGTTTTTGTTCTAATATAGTTCTTCTCTTTTTGGCATCAAATCGTTTGAATAGTAAATAGTTTTCTAGACTAGGATATTTTTTATAAGAAAAAGCTAGTTTTGCTTCATTGACAGCTCGAGTACAAAAATCATTCCACCAAATATTGAATTTGCGTTTTTTATTATGGCAAGTCGGATGTGACTTCTTAGAAAAAGTTAACAGTATTTTACGGAGAGTGTCGATAAACAAATTATAATTTTGTAAAGAGTCAGAATTTAAGGACAATGAAGAAAATTCTTTATCACAAGCTTGTGAAAATAAGGTCCAATCTATTTTCTGATAGTTGATATTTGGCAAAAGAGAAGTCGAATCAGAAATGTTATGGGAGTTTGAAGACAACTTATGAGTATCGTTACTATAGTATTGTGAATAATCATTATAATAAACATTGACACAAATAGGAAAATGATTACTGCTCAGTAGATCGTCATGGACAGAAAATGAACAACTGGAACTAATAGATGGAGATGCAAAGGCCAGATCCAAAACATTGCCATTTTGACCATATGGTGCAAATGTTGTAACAGAAAAATCATTTAGGCAAACGAGATTATGAGCATCAATAAAGGAACTGATAATATTACCTCGACTGTCATTGTACCTGGAGCCCCAAGCTGCATGATGTGCATTAAAATCACCAAGAATCAAATAATTATGGCTAGAAATAAAAGAAAAAGAATTATTAAGCATTCTGGCATTAAATTTACCATTAGGAGGAGGAGGAATATACAAACAAAGGATATCAATGGAAAATTGATCAATTGTTCATGAAATTAATAAATTTTGAAAATGATAATTACTTGGAGTATCAGTAACGTTATATAAAAACTTCTCTTTAATAGCGACTGCAATACCCCCATGAGGATGGTCAGAGTCCCTTCGCACTATTTTATAACCAGGAATCTTTAGTGTTTTGGACGAATCAAGCCATGTTTCATTTATTAGAATTATATCAATTTCATAACTGTGAGAATGAATAAATTGTTTTAATTGGTCCAATTTACTAAGAATGCTACGGCAGTTCCAATGAATGATATTGAGTTGCTTAATTCCAATGTCACTATCCATAAAATTATGCTGTGAAGTTGGAAATAAGCAGTTCTTTTATTAGTTTAGATGAAATAGCATTACCAGACTTATTTAAATCTATTAGAGTTTTTGTTATAACACTTATGACCTCATCTGAATTTATAATGTCTGTATATAATACATGTTTCTGAGGTGCATTTAAAAGTTTCAAATTACTGAAAATTTTTGGCTTCATGCTTGTAGAAGAAGATTGCGCACTTGAAGGTACAATTGAAGCTGGAGAACTAATTTTGGCTGTTACAGTAGCATATGTCTGTTTACCGCTAATTCTGTCCTTTAATTCTTGATTTTTGGCAGCTTTGATAGGACATGAATTGCTAACGGCTATATGAGCTCCACTACAATTTACACATCTTATGTTATCTTTGTTATTGCATTCTTTGAAAAAGTGATTTCCGGTACAGATGGAGCAAACTTGAGAACTTTTGCATGATCCACGCCCATGGCCAAATTTATAACAGACAAAACATTGTCTAATGGGCTTAATGTATTCTTTCACTTCAAACCAAATGAAATCAAAAATTATATGATCGGTATGTGTTGTGCCAAGGAAAGTAATAAGAACTGTTGGAGTTGGAATCAATGAACCATCAGTATTTTTTCTTAAGAAACGCTTCACACCAATTATTTCATTGTTAGACTTTAAATTATTCAATAAATATTCTTCTGTAATTTCAATTGGAACTTTTATGATACCCAAACTTTCAATGTGATCAAATGGGATTTTAGCTTGCCAGCTGTGCTTTGACAAGAAAGACTTTCCCAGTAAAAAGGTATTAGCGTCATTTTTATTGCTAAAAAACACCTTAATTATGTAGTTTCCAACAGGTTTAACATATAAAATTCCAGCACATGTCTTTAGTATTGAATTGGTTTTTATTAGATTTAATTTAGTATTGGGTGATATTGAGGATAATAAAATGGGATACTCATTTTTTCTGTCTTCGCTGTAAATATGGTTATAGTCCTTAAATAACCCTCTTCTGGTAGAAATAAAATTTGCAGAGAGTTTGTGAGGGGGACAGTTTTCAATATTGTCAGATTTGCGTTTTCCAACTTTGGAATTGGCGGGATTCCTCCCGCCGCTTTCTTCATTCATTGAAAAAAATATATTAATTAAAAGATTAATAACAGAAAAGGGCCGCTTGGCACAGAGTTTAATAATTTAAAAATTTCCTGAAATAATTTCAAATGTTCGCGCCCACTTTCCCGCCAATTGCGAAATGTTATCACCTGTATTAATTCCACAGACTTATTAATCCCTGCACTGGGATTCTGTAAAAATCATAGAGTTAAGAAGACCGGCCATACCTACGAAAAAAGCGTATATGCCTAAACTTGAAATGCAAATTCTTCGATGGCGGACTGTCATAGGGCGCGACCCATGATATCGATATTTGTATCGACATTGAAGTCATATTAAATAAAAGTTAGTATTTCGTGAAACTGCTACAAAACTACTACTTATTAAATAATGTAATATAATTTCCATTTTTAGGGGCATTGCTAAACTATTACCTATTACACTTCTATTCATTTCACACTTACGTACCAATCCTATTTATGATTATTATTAATTAAATTGATAAATTCAAGCCAGTTTTAAGAAAATAATATTTTGTTAAGTGGCGTGAAATTATCAATTATTTATAAATCTTTAAGCAATCTTTTGCTCGTATTTTGTTGGACATCTAAAAGTATCATTGTTCTTGCGACTCCGTTGCGTTAGTATAGTAATTATAACCTATGTTACCAGCGTATGATGGCGCTTCCCACGGGTAAAAGAATATTCGTATTCCAAATTTCATCAAAATCCGTTCAGTAGTTTTTACATAAGAGTAACCAACATCCATCCTCACAAACTTTCACATTTATATTGTATAAATATTATATTATTTTATAATATGATTGTACCTCGATAAATATGTTTCTTTTTCCTCTAGACAATTTTACATACTTTTAAGAACTATAGTACCAAAATATATATCTTAAATTAAAAGTTTTACAATAATATCAATCGTGTTTTATAATTATTTCCATATATATTGTAAAGTTGACATTTTGCAATTATAATTAAATAGTTTTTTAACATAAGTTTAATTTTGCATCCACGGGAAGTGTGATCACTGTACAAGATAACTACCACGGTAACTATAATAAGCTTTAAATGAGTCGATTAACGAATGAATAATTATGTTTTTTTTTTGTCTCTTATGTATATTTTTTATTGTTTTGGTGGAAAGTGACATTTTGGTCCAACGAAGTCATTTTTTGTTTTTCAGTACGAAATTAAACAGGGTGCAAAAGCAGCACTTGCAGTTTCTTACCGGTTCCTCTTCTTTTCTCGGTACAAGGTATCCCGTAATCGATTGCCGAACTATAAGCACAGAGTTTCGACTTTCTTATATGCTTGTAACTAGTAAGCCAACTTGTCTATAAATATATTCAATAAATTGTATTGACTGAATAAATTTCGCTTACTCCTTAATAAGTGAGATACAGTGCGTACTGTGTCACAATTTTAGTTCAGAACATCTTATTTAGTAGTAAACATAGAAAACTTGAAACAGCTACATAATCTTTGTATTATATTATTTGTAAAAGAACATAAAAATACTGTAAACTTTGATGAATAAACAAGAGAAAATAAAGAAAACAAAGTTGGTAGATGAAAAAGTGATATAATTTATTAAAGAAGTAACAATTGGCATTTTATTTAAAAATTTGGTTAGCAAAAAGAAAACAGCCGATAAATCAGTGGGCAAGCATATAAATATTTTCTCAGCACTAAAACAGTCTGCAATTCATGTTCTGTGAACAATCATGATTACGGTCAGCAATTTAAATACAAAAAGGTAGCGTATTTTGTGATGCATCAGCAAAATAAACATCCACGCCACAAAATAATTATTTGGGTATTAAGATTATACTATTGAACAGCAAAAAAAACCTTTATATACGCCTTTAATTTGATGAGTGCATATTTAAATTTTTATTTCAATTATTTAACTCATTTTATCGTATATTTTACCGGGAGTATATTATGATCAGAATTTTATATTTTAATATTATTATATATTGCATTCTGATTTTTTAAAATTAAAATAGTCGTCATATGACCGCAAGACTAAAAATAAGGTACATTTATAGAATAACAAAATGACTATATAAAAAACTAAATAAATAAATCAGTAAAGTCAAATGAAAATTAACTAAGTGTAATAGACAATTTTTTTTTTAAATTAAGTTAATATCAATTTTCAAAAATTCTTACCAGAGTATTTGATTGACAATGCATCATCTCGTAATTTTATTTTATTTAAAGTTCGATTCAAACAACTTTCCCTAAAATGAAGTGAGCAGATAAAAGGACTTTTTTATTATATTTAATATTTTCTGCTCCAATTTAACTCGGCCTTTTTCCTCTTTTGTTTCATGTTTTGGTAATCTAAAATAATTAATATATTTTTAAATATTAAAATTATCGATATAAACCAAATGTTAAAGTAACAACACTAGCCATGTAAACAACATTATTTACGGACCGAAATATTATAAAAATATTAACGAAAAGAGCAATATAGCATAAATAGAACACGCCAAAATACGATATGTATCGATTTATACACGCAATCATTTTCAGAATAACTTACTTACGTTTTAAATACTGTTTTTCCAAGAAAGTGTTTAACTCACCGGTGAAACGAAATATTGCTCGGTTTGCGGGATATCGATGACGCACACCTAGGCATTGTTTTGCATAAATAATTTACAATTTTCTGGCATGAAAGTTATAAATGAAAATAACCACAAAACTTATAACACTGACAGCTGAACTACTTCCGAGAATACGCACTGCTACTTTGCAAACGGCGGACAGGTGGTACGATAGCTATATCTCATGACGTCACGTAAAAAATTTTGAACTGTCACACTAGTGCGATCTTTGTTTACTAAAGAAACTTCTTATTAGTTAAAAAGAGACAACATGATGTTTTCGATGTCAACTTCAGATTGCATGATATTTATATAACCATAGAAAATATTTCCACTCTACCTTAAGGGCGCTTGTGCACTACACTGAATTTTCATGTCCGGCGGTCCGATTTTTTCAGGTCCGATATGTCAGGCCATATGTAGGTAATGCGCGCTTGTGCACTGTCAGGAATTTTACCGTCCGGAATTTTACTTTTCTCTATTCCGGACCGGTTTTTTCAGGTCCGTGATGGCGGCAATGAAAAACGTGTTTACGCTTGTGCACTGCTGCGTCCGAGATCCGGAAAATTCATAAGAAATAGGCTTGGGAAAAAATAATCGATTTGAATCGATATTTATTTCGGCAATATTGTTAATTTCCAATAAACTTATAATCTTTTTTGTTGATTATAAAATGCTATATTTTATATGATGATTTAATATAGTTGGTATATATCACTGCATATGCTTTGGCATATGCTCGGTATAGTTCTAATTTGATCAGCGTATGGTTCTAGTATCGATACTTAGCTAGATTTTAGAATCGTATTAAAAGTATCGATAGCTTAAGGTAAGATAAATAAGTGTTGTTACGCTTAGACGCCTAAACAACTGAACTCATTTAAATGGAAATTAATATAGTAAATAGACTTAACTTTAAGAAAGGACATAGGCTACATTTTATCGCGAAAAATAGGGGATTAAAGTTTGCCTGGAAATTTGTCATTATCAGTTTTTTTTAGACAATTGATAAATATAGATAAATATTTGACAACAGAAGTAATAATAAAGAATAAACAGAAGATTAACAAAAGTAATTAAGTGACACTCAATGTCTTCTTCGCATTTAATAAAATTTTAAATGTATGTTTGTGTCATTAATGAATTAAAAATAAATAAGTATTCTAAGGGAATAATATTTCTGCTCAAAGAAACTACACTACGCGTATAAAATTATGCCTATATATAATATAGTCAACTGATCTCGTAAAGTTCATTTAGCATAATAATTCTCCGCTTACACGGCACTAATTTCGATTTGTTTACGAAATGGCGTCACCGATTGGTCTATCTCTGTAATCGCTGAAAGTTGTTTTTACAAAACTTCGAAAAAAAATAGCACGTTTAAAAATTTAAACATCAAGTACTAGACCATTATCAGTAATTTTATTCTAATGTCACAGATATTTTTAACTATTGTATGTGAATAATGCTGTTCCTAAATTAGTAAGGGTATAAGTTTTTACATGTGATAGTAGTCATTCGATATTAGTAAAAAAAAAATGCTTCATTCGTCTTGCCATAATTTATTATGATTTATGTAAAACGATCAGATCATTATTTAGGTACCTTTCTACGTCTTCGAACGGAATTACCGACATTCCAAAAATCTCATCGTACATAGCGTAAGTGACGTGTAGCTTCAAAGAGAGCTGCCCTACACTGCGCCGCTCCGATCAGGAAAAAAACGGACAAGTGCACAAGCTACTCATCCGAGTTTTTCATGTCATTCCGGACCGGAAAAAATCGGATCGCCGGACCTGAAAATTCAGTGTAGTGCACAAGCGCCCTAACTCTATGATTGACACAGATCGATCACTATATTGATAATGTTGATGTTGTGTTCTGTCAAAGTTAAGAAGAAGAAGTTGATTTTTCATTAATGTTCATCGTTGCAACATTGAATTTTAATAAGCTTCAATTTGCTTAAGAACATAAAAGTTGTCTTCAGACATTTCATAGTTTCATAATGCTACATAAAGAGTGTAGTATCATTCAAAAAAAAAATGAAAACAAAGACTTGATGAGTATTCACAGATAACCTCCAATGAGTATTGAAGAAAACTAGGTATTGGCGTAATTTTTTAGAACGGATCATGGATAGACTACCAGATGAAGTGATGTTAATGATTTTTGAATGGATACTTCCCTGCAAGTTGCTTGGGGCTGTCTCGCAAGTGTGCAGGCGTTGGGCTTCGCTGGTGGCACACCGCGCTCTACTTCTAAAGCACGAGAATGAACTGCAACGATGCCATCAAGGTCTGCATGGTGTACGCGTGCTCAATCGGCAAACCACCATCATGATTAATAAGTTGTTTGAATTCCGGAACCTTCGTGATATAACCATCTGCAGCGCCACTCCCCTTTCGTCTGATTGCTTCAAAGCACTAATCCACTTAGAACAGCTAGATCATCTGGATGTATTCCTGGACGGCCGACCATTGGATGCATCTATGTTACCCACTCTTGGCGGTTGAGTTCACTTGTCATCAATGAGACAGTCAAGCCGCATGTGATAAGCCATTTAGCAGGCTCTCAACGTCTACAAGCATTACATATGTATGGCCGATCCTTTTATTTTCCATGTCGTGATTTGTTAGTGCTTTTAGAAGCACGCTATTTGCATCTACGTGAGTTGACACTGCGTTGTTCAGAGCTTCATGACTTTCATTATGCTGCTATTGGAAAATGTGAGTTATTAGTTACACTGCAGTTGTATTCATGTTGGCTAATGTCTGAAGCAGGTGCATTGCATGTGACACAGCCCCCAATGCTGCGCTCTTTACATATCACTAGTGCAAGAATGGTCAGATCTGCAGCCCTTAGTAACTTTCTGGCCCATCTGCCTAGATTATTAGAAGAACTTGTTTTAAGTGGCAGTGCATTCAATGACAGCCATGTTAAAGCACTACAAAATCTTCCAATGCTACGTGTTTTAGAATTATGGAACTGTCAGCTATCAGGTGCAGGTGCATTGGTATTGGCAAATGTTGTACCATCATTGCACATCCTTGATCTAGACATTACACTTACTAATGAACAAATTAAAGTGCTAGATAATCATCCTAACCTTTTGAGTGTGAGATGTCTTACTGAACAATCAAACAAGCATTACTGTAGACCCTTTAATGTATCAAAATATGGGGAGCTTCAAACACATCATGTTAAAATCCAAAGGACAAATGAGAACTACTCTCATAAATATTTTAGGAACAATGGTGAAGGTTATTGCGCTTCTCTTTTCTATTACTGGACTCAAAAAATGTGCTTACAACCTTATATATATTAAAAGTAATATCTAGCAAAGCATTTTTAGAATATGAAAATGGTAAAATAGAGAAAATTAAAAGACAAATAGTAAACAGTATTTCTTTTTTTTCCTTTGGTTGTTGGTGCAATTTTACATCAAAATTATGCCTGTTTTGAATGTGTAGGGTATGTGACTAGATTTTCCAGCCAGCCCAGCACCAACAAATATACTTCACTACCTTCATGCCTGCGATATCCTGAAAGTTGCCTGCTCAGTCAAGGTTAAAAACAGCCACTTTTCTGCACAGGGGGCTGTTGGTGATACATCAGAGTCTGTTAATGTGTAAGGCCAGCAATAGCATCTGTCACAAGCCACATTGATGGTTTACTTAGCTGTAAGAGGGCCTTAGATAGCTTTAGAGGGTTTTAGATAGGCATGTTTACTTTGGGTAGAGCATGTTTAGGCCTCTAAAGTGTGCAATAATAATATCTGTGATTATAAATTTTATGCTTAAGTTTATTATTTAAAATCCTATTAATATTATAAATGTGAGGGTTTCTTTGTTTGGATGTTTAGATGTTTGGATGTTCGTCGGTCAATCACGCCGAAACTACTGAACGGATATTGATGAAATTTGGTATACAGATAGGGTTTTAGCTGACTTAGATAATAGGATACTTTTTAGCCCACTAAACATTTCCCTAGGGTCCACGCGGGCTAAGCCGCTGGCGAAAGCTAGTTATATAATAAACCTGCAAAATTAAGTTTTCGAAAGTAATTTTTTATAATGCTTATATTTAGTTTGGCTTGTGCTATTTTATTTTTAGTGATAATGAATACGTTTCCATATCACCGGCTAAGGACATGTTTTTGAATTCGATGTTACCTGACCATAAGAATCCAATCTATACTTTACTAATAGTAAAAATAGTAAAAAAAAAAAAGTATATTACGCCTTATGTCAGTCCTTATTGGAATATTGTATCATATCTTGGAGTGGGGCGTATAAAACCCATTTAATTAAACTTGAAAGGGCACAGCGTGCTATATTGAAGGTATGTACTTTTAAACCCTTCCATTTCCCAACGAAAGAATTGTATGAGTATTGCGAAGTGTTAACAGTACGGCAACTATTTATACTGCATGTTATACTAAAGCAACACTCTAGCGCTAACCTTATTCGTCTTGATAAAACAGAATCGCGAACTAGACAGAAATATAGGATCGTGAATACTAATAATTGCAGGAATTCTTTTGGCAGGAAATTCTATTACTTTTTAGGTCGCTTTTTATATATCAAATTAAATAAAAAACTAGAATTTGATCACAGAAATAAACATGCTTGTAAAATTATTGTCAGAGATTGGCTGCTAAAACACACACACACACACACACACACACATACACACCACAAGTATATATTTTACTATTTTTAATTATATTTACATATGGGTAAATATTACATACCTCCAGAGATGTGACTTATCTTAGATACAAGTATTTGAAATACAGATACAAGATACAAAATACGTATTTTCATCTTGTATCTAAAATACTTTTTTTAGGAAGTATTTTGTATCTTGTATTTAAATACTTTTGTTTAGTATGTTAGTATCTTTTAAATACTTTTTCTGATAAAATACTTTATAAAAAGATTATTTCTTACATTTTATAAATATCACTAAACATTCTTTGCCTAAAACATACATATTTACAAAAAGAAAGTGTTCAATTATCAACGCAATGAATATTTAGTTAAAAATAACTCGAATCCAAATATTGTTTGGTGTCATTTAAAAAGTAAATGCGTAGAACTGAAACTGGAGGGTGATTACACCGGTACGCTTATACCGGTGTAATCACCCTCCCTAGTAAAAATTGATAGATGGCGCATAGGGCTTGAAATCGAATAACCAGTTACAAGCAATAAAAAATCTTGATTTATGTAAAAACCCGGTTATATGCTATAAATAAAACTCAGTATATCAATTAAACTCATTATTAAATTTTATAATTTTTTTGCACATTATACTTTTTCCACTTTTCACACAACAACAGCATTCAAAAAGTTTATTTTTAAAGAAATTTCACTGTGAAATTCGATACATGGCAAATGCTTGAAATTTTATCCCGTGAGCAAAGCAATATTGCCTTTATTGACTCAACAGTTAATCTTTTTCTATCTTTTGACCACTGCATATTCATGAGCGAAATAAAATCAATATTCGCATTATGAGGCATAATACAAAAAAATACTGACAAATCTTCAGTAGTTCGGAAACGAGTGCTGTCATTGCATATATTGAAAATAATTACCCACTGCTTTTCAACTAGCAGTCATAAAAATAAATTTGTTAATAGAAAAAATTCTTCAAATAATTTCTTTGACATCGTCAATTAATACTCCTTTATTTTTCAAAAATACAACACAATCTGTGATGTAATCGTATGGTAGATTTTGGTTTAATAAGTAACCATTTAATTCAAGGGATCTTTATTGAGAAACAACAAAAAAATGGGCGAAGTCCTGTCTTAATATTAGGTCTTTACCTATGTAATTGCCGTTCTACTGTACTAGCCATTTAAAATCAAACTATTTTTTTTTGCTGATAATTCTATTATCAAATTATTTTTTCTTAAATCGTCATTTGTTCAATAGTAAGTGTTTTGTTTTCAATGAATTTGAATATTTTTCGTCGTCATGGATAAGTTAAAAATTCGAGTAATTATGGAGTATATGTGCCATCGTGGCAGCAAAGCGGCACGCAACATTACAACGTTTGCAGAGCGAACACTACAAACGAACGCACCACCCGTTATTGGTTTGCCCGTTATTGGTTTACGAAAATGTTGCTGTTTGGTGGTCTAACGCGGATGTATTTCATCACAGCTTCTTAACAAACAGGACGAGCATTACTGCAGATTTACTGTGTGTATTGTGAAGAACTGAACACAATGACGGAGAAGCTGGCACAACTCCAACCAGGTTTTGTCAATCGGTCGGTTTCACTGCTCCTGCACGACCACGTACGACCTCATACTACACAATTAGCGGTACCCAAGCAACAAGAGCTGGGGTTTGAAGTTCTCCGTCATCCGCCGTACTTAACAGACCATGCGCCTACAGACTTCTTATTCTTCCAGAATTTGGATAACGTCTTAGCGGGAAAAAAATAAATTCCCGAGAGGCAGTACAAAATGCCTTTGAAGTATTTGTTGCCTCCCGTCCAGCTGATTTCTTCAAGAAGGCATCATTAAACTACCAATGCGTTGGCAAAGATGTATTGATTGCATGGGTGATTACTTTGATTAATAGAAATAAGAAAATAAAGCTTCATTTATTTTATTAAAAACGGAAATATCATAGATAAAAACTTAATTAATACTTCAAATCCGGTTGAGACCGGATTTATCCGATCAGATGGTAACTAATGGCGCATTACCAACAGTACCAGCAATACCAACTCTACGTCTTTTTAGGTACATCTACGTATTATAAGCCTTTCCTACAAACCAACGTACTATAATCAACCACAGAAGCTAAGTATTTTCTACTAAAAATTTTCAAATTAGCTTAACACATTAAAGGGGCATAATTTTCGGTAATTCTGCAAAAAAAGTTGATATACGTTCCATTACATACTATCGCACATTCACCTCGTCACAAGTCACGCCATTAATTTTAAAAACCAAGTACTGTATTTATTTTTACCCATTCTCTTCATCTCACTAGGAAAAAATGAATTTTCAGTTCTCCGTAATTTTACGTCGTACGTAAAACCAGCTTTTTAAATAAATAATAATTTTATAATTAATTTAAATAATTATTGTTGTTATATTTCAGCAATTTTTCATTCCCCATGCTATATTGAAAAAAAAAATTATTAAAAAGGAACTAAAAAATTTAAAATAATTTAAACCTGATGTATTAAATATTTGCATTTTTATATGTTACATTGTGATTGACAAACAAATAAAACGGAGGAAAAGTGGGTGAAATTTAGCTTGTAAGATTTGAGTACAAACACAGGTGAAACTAAATAAAAGCTTACAAAAATTGTTTCTAATGAAAAATGCTTAAAAAATCCACTTACCATCTGGTCTAAGATTTAGGTTTTTGTGGTCTTTAATAAACAAACTGAAATTCAAATCTTTTTTTAGAAAAGTATTTGTATTTATAAAAAGTATCTATAAGATACCTATTTTGTATCAAGTATTTCAAATACTTTTCACGAAAGTATTTTGTATCTGGTATCTGAAATACTTAATTTAAAAGTATTTTGTATCTTGTACTCCAGATACTTTGTACAGGGTATTTTGTACATCTCTGCATACCTCATATATTAACCTTAACTCTTAAAATTCTTAAAATCTAAAAATTTCATTATGAATTATTGCACTAATTCACAATATTTAGTTACTTTAATAATATAGTGCTATGGAAGGAAAGCTGGTACTTAAAGCACAGAGTTTTTTCTATCTTAAGTACCAGCCGCTACATATGTAAGTTTTGAATCTACTATCATTATGTTAAAAGTTTTTTGTGTTTTATTGTGAAATAAATACATATTATTATTATTTATATATATTACTAATAAATAATAAAGTTGGTTTTGTTGGGTTGAACTCTTATAATCTCAGAAACTACTGGAATGAATTTTTTTTTGTGTTGAATAGTCCGTTTATCGAGAAAGGCTATTGAGAGTGGAGCAGCAATTAAAAAAGGTAACAAAAAATGGGAGAATATTTTACTTTTTCAGCACTTTTCTTGCGTGCTCTGCGTAAACGGTGAAAGCTACGCAAAAATAATGTATTACGAAATTGATCCCCTTTAAAAGCTCTGAAAGTAAATCTTATATCTTATTCCGAAAAAAGCACATAAAGGAATGAAATAAGTAGTAGAAGTTCGTATGGCATTAAAACGTTACCAAACCAACCATTGTGTTCCATTTAACTGACGCTACTAATCATTAGATGACACTACTGTCTTTTAAAAATAGAGTATGATTTTTTAAGGTTTGATATTTTGATCGTTTCTC